TGGTAGGTGCTGGTGCACCCCTATAAACCAGCACTCTGGAAGGCCGAGGCAGAACTGCAATTCAAAGCCAGCCTGAGGGAGGCCGTTCCCAAATAAAAAACAAAAGGGCTGGGAAGTAGCTCGGTGCAACCCCAAGACCACGTTAGAAAACAAGGTCAATTTCCACCCAGTGTGTCCCCTCACTAGAGGTGAGCAACACGCCAGTGCTTCCGGAGTAAACCATCTGTCCAGCTCCCCTTCCAGTCCCATCAGGGTGCCCGGGAGGAGCAGCCCTCACACAGCAGCCTCGGCAGCCCTGGCCATCCCACTGCACCACTGAGTCCCAGGCTCCCAGCTGCCTCCCTGATCCCAGCCCTCAGGCCAACACCCGGCCCATGACACTGCTCCCAACTTCCTCACCAACAAGAGGTCTCTTTAAAGATCCCTTTGCCAGGCTTGATGGTGCACACCTGTAATCCCAGCACTCTGGAGGCTGAGGCAGGAGGATCGCGAGTTCGAGGTCAAGCCGAACTTTTTTTCTGGCTGGGCATGGCAGCACATGCCTGCAATCCTAGACTCTGGGCAGCTGAGGAGGAAAACCACCAAGTTGGGAGTCCACCACTCTTTATCCCTCAGTTTTAACTGTGACCCAGGCTTCTGGTGAGGACCGTCCCACCCCGAGACCCCAACATCCCAATCTCCCAACCCTGGCTGCCCCTCAATCTCTTACTCCTTCTAGCATGAAAAGCAGTCAGGCTGCACAGCTGTAATGCTAGCACTCCAGGAGGCAGAGGCAAGAGGGTCAGAAGTTCTCGTCCAGCCAGGGCAGCCTGGCAAGGCCCTGTCTCAAAATAAAAATAAAGGAAGGCCGGGGATTTATCTCAGTGGTTCCACCGCCTGTGCTGCAAGCGTGGGACCCAAGTTCAATCCCCTGTACCAAAAAATAAAAATAAAGGCTGAGATACAGCTCAGAGTGAAGGCCCTGTGTTCAACACCCAGTACTGTTTGGTTGCTGTGGTGGTACTGGGGCTGAACCCAGCACTGTTAGGCAAGTGCTGTCACTGAGCTACCCCCACCCTCCCCCCTTTTTTTGGTGCCAGGGATCGAACTCAGGACCTTGTGCTTGCAAGGCAAGTGCGGTGCCACTACACTAAATCCCCAGCCCTCCAACCCCCCCCCCCTTTTGAGACACGGTCTTGCAAAGGAGTTGCCAGGCTGGTCTCAAACTTGCAATCCTCCTGCTTCAGCCTCCTGAGCAACACCACCACCGCACTCAGCTAAAAACATCTTTTAATTATAAAACACTACGCATGGGTGGCATCCAGTACTATTCTCTTTCTCCCCGGCTGGCAAATCCCCACCTCTGCAAGCAGCCTCAGCAGGCCACCCTAAGGACTTGGGGGAACAGACCAACACCTGCCAACTCTCATCATCCTGACAGCGAGAAGGACCGGTGTCACCCTACCTTCCGGGGCCACAGCAGGAGGGACCGGGACCTCAGAGGCCACCCCACTGTGCTCACCCTAGAGCACTCTTGGCACCAGGGTCTGGCGCTCCTTCAGTGGACTGCTCTGACTGACCGGGTTGAGCAGACAGAGACCAAAGGGCCCAGTCTGATCCCAGCTCTACCGCTTGCTAACTGCACGGCCCGAAGCTCGTGACTCAGTCGCTAAGCCTCAGTTTACCTCCTGTGAGAAGGCACCCCAGGCAGCACACAGCCTGTTGTCAGGGCGCAGTGAGACGCCTGCAACTCCAGGCCCACGCTCCCCACCAGGTACCGAAGGGTGTTCAGCTCATCAGACTCATGAGACTATTTTCTCAACTCTTACACGAAAGGGAAAAAAGCACTCTAAAGATGCCAGAAAAGATGACACAGTGATCTGTGAGTATGAAATAAGCTGCATCAAAACTCTGTAACAGGGCCGGGGGATTTAGCTCAGTGGTTTCGCCGCCTGTCCTGCAAGCGCGGGACCCGAGTTCGATCCCTGGTACCAAAAAAAAAAAAATTTACCCGGGCTGGGTTCAAACTTGCAATCCTCTTGCTTCAGCCTCCCAGGGCACTGGGCTTGTAAGTGTGCACCATCACATCCGGGTCAGTAAAGGTCTGGTAAATGCCACACAAAGAGCAGCTCGTTAATGTTGCCATGTCCCAGTTACCTCCCAAGAACACTACTAACCCAGGGGGATGAGTGCCACCGGGTGTAAGATGCTGAATTAACCTGAGGGAGCTTGCTGAGAAAAGCCCACTTCCCTCCACAGCAGGCTCCCAGGGCCCTTACTTCCAAGCAGTGTTCAGACTCATCTGTGGGAACCCAACTCAGGGTGAGCCACAGAGAGGTGCCCTGGGACCTCACGACGACTGGCTGTAGCGTGCGTGCTCTAGCACTTCAAGAACACTGTGCCTCACAGGAAATTCCTAACGCTTCTAACAGGCTTCAGGGTCACTGCGGAGCAGTTACAATGACACTCAGGGCTGCGGTGCAACTCAGGTAGAGCACTTGCCCAGCGTGTTCAAGGCCCTGGGTTTAATTCTTAGCACACACAGAAAAGATAACCAGATTTCTTCCTTTTGCAGCCCCACTATCCTCGCTCCAGCTTCCTGCCGGGACAGACTAAGACTCCTTACCCACAGTGCTCTGCCAATCCAAAGCCAAACAGGCTCACCCCCAAGAAGTGGCATGTTTACACCCTCTCTAGTTGAGCTGGTGTGGATTTCCTTTAAAAGTCCTTCTCTTCCACTTCCTGCTGGGTGGGGACAAACCCAGTTTACATCCACAGGTTTAAGCAGGCAGCCTTTCCCCGCTCCACCAAGGTCTCCAGCACAAATGGCGCCACTCCTCCGCTGCCAGCCCGAGGGATCACAGCTGGCACTTCCAGCTCACTGGGGCAACTTGCTCCCTCATAGGCTCAGGCCGTCCTCCATCCTGAGAAACCCAAGTCCAAGCTCTCGGAAATGAGACAAACTTGTCGCGTCACTCAAGTGACAGGCACAGAGCCGCCCAGATGAGCCGCTCCAAGTCCAAGTTCGTGTGGGGAAGAGGCACAGTGAGCATCTTGAAAGGTGGGTTTCAGTGGACAGCAGACAGACTACTCACGAACATCTCCGCAAACGGAAGAGCAGACACACAAAATCCAAAGATAACTCCAACCTCAATTTTAGTTTTTGGTTTCTGGCTCCTCTTCCCAGCACACCCTTTTCTCAACACTTGACGAGTGATACACTTGGTAAGAAAAGTAAAGATTTCTGGGCCAGGGATGTAGCTCAGTGGCACTGCACCTGCCTTGCAGCGCAAGGTCCTGAGTTCGATCCCCATATCAAAAAAAAGGGTAAAGATCTCTAGTACTCACTCCCCAGGTGATCACTTCCTGCTGCTTTCTTGAATAAGTGGATGAAAAATGGGTTTATAACAATGCTGGTAAAATATAAAACTGACCAGCCGAAAGCAAACAGTAAAAGCAAGATAATCCACAAACCAAGTAACAGGGCAACGGCTGAGGTTGATGGGAGAATAGAACTTCTCTGCACCCATGCCTGTGCACTAGTGGCCCCAGCACACGGTGTGAGAGCAGCCCAGGGCCTCTCAGTTCTTTGAGAAAAGCGTCCCTCTCTTGGGTATAGCCCCTGCATTCCTCACGAAGGAAGGTCCAGTACAGACTTCTCATCCTCTATAAACACCAGAGGATACCTTAGTGCCTGTTCCTGTGCTCCAGCAGGAGGCATCTGACTTACCCAGCGTTTTACAATCTATGGACCTCACAGGATGGGGCACCCTGACTGCCAAAGCAGCCTTCAGCATGAAAGCTAAGACCCTCCCAGATCTGTCCCTGGCCACACTGGAAACCCTATGGCATCTCCCCAGCGTGACGGGGCACTCCCCAGCCTCAGTCACGCTCTGTTATTCCAGCTGCCCACGTGTCTCCCGGCTCTGCTGAGCTGCAGCAGAGCACATTCCCAAGAGGCGGAGAACATACTCTCCAGGACTCCTCCAGAGCGAGAGACTTCCACCACACGACTTCAAGAGACTTGGGGAAAGGCAGCTGCTACTAAAATCCAAGACACAACTTAGTCATCCAGCAAATAGCTAGTAAGCACCACTGTCAGGAGCGAACGGAACAGGCGTGGCTCTCATCTGCGCAGGAGAAAACATGGCAGGGCAGACGTGAGACCAGCAAGCAACGTGCAGTACCATCCCAGAGAGCCTGGAACCCCTCTGCCCAGGACACACCCATCTAAAGGGACCCCTAGCCCGCAAACTGCCCCCCACCGTGGTCACCTCTGCTGTGGAGGTGAGAGTGAGTGGCAAGTCACTCTGGCCTCTTGGAAGAGGCACAGGTAATTGTCCTGCCAGAAGGACGAGCAGTCGGAGGGCAGGAGAGAGCGCAGGGTATGACAGCACGGGGCCTTGTGACCAGTCAGCAGCAACCAAGGCCAACGCAAGAGTCAAAAACAGGCTCAGGACCCCCGAGATTAATTTGGGACGAACACATCCTGCACACCTAATGCCCCGTAATGGACCTCAAAGTCCAAAGGTAAGAGAGAAGTCACAGTCTGAGGAAGTGCCTCTGGCACTCTGAAGGCACCTGAAACACCCCAGGGACACTGACAGTGTGTCTGTGTGCAGAGCCGCGCTGCCTGGCGGTGACAGGCCCTGCCCTCACCCTCCCGTCCCCAGGTCCCCAGGAGTGCCTGTGTGGGCCTCCTTCGCCAAGGGTGACAGCAACCCTGGTTCTGGTGGGGACTCAAGACACTGCTGTCTGCACTGCTGCTGCACTGGGGACCAAAGTCTGGGCCTCGCACAGGCTCCACTGCCACTCGACCAGCAAGCACACCCCGGCCCAAGACCCTCGTTCAACTCCACTGAAGATACCCCCGGAATGAAGAGAAAAACTCATAAATACATGAGAAAGAGAAAAAGATATCAGAAAAAGCAATGGCAAGTCCAACAAACATGGAGAACAGGGCCACGCAGTCAGGAGCCCCTCCCCGCAGTCAGGAGCCCCTCCCCGCCACCCGTCCTTACCTTACTAACATTGAGTGAAGCTAGGGGAGGAGGAGTTTCTGTCCGGTCGTTAATTATTTCCACTTCTGAAACATACTGTAAGTTTATGAGCAGGATGTCGGCATGGTTGGGCTTTCCACTGGAAGAGGGACATTCTGGTAAGAAAATACAGTTAAGGAACACAGGGCCGGAGAGGCACAAAGCAAAGCGGCCCAGGAGACGTGGCTCCGCACAGCTCCCTGGTATGTGAAGGCTCATGCCGGGCCGGCCGCGGGCCACATCCTCCTCGCCTCTGAGGCAGAGGCAAATACAGGCTGAGCGCCGTATGTTTGCTGTTTGTCTAGATCTACGAATCACAAATCACATGGAAGAGCCAGCTTTTTCTGCTCTTGGTATAACTTCCCCTCTATCTGCAGAAGGCTCTCATACTTTTTCAGATTTAAGATCCCCCAGATTTGAGAAAACTACAGCTCTGGATGGGAAACTCGATCCATGTGCCCCGCCCAGTTCAGTCATCCATCCACCCATCTATTCATTCTTCAATCAACCATGTACTAAGAAGCTGGGCATGGTGGTGCACGCCTGTAACCCCAGCACTCGAAGGCTGAGGCAGGAGGACTACCACAAGTTCAAGGCCAGCCTGGGCTACAGTGAGTTCCAGGACAGCCTGAACTACAGAGCAAGACCTTGTCTCAAAAAAATAAAAGAGCAAAACCATGTACTAAGAGCCTGCCATATCCCAACTCAAAGTACAGCGAGCCCTCTTGCCAAGAAAGCGGCTAAAGTAAAGATCTTAGTCTCACTGCCTCTCTTGTTCAAAAAAGGAATTGGAAAAAGTAACTATTCTTGTAATTAATTTAAGACCTCTCCTAAGATAGAAATCTACAACTAGTGGTTAAAGGAATGGAATTAAAGTATTTGACACTCAAAGGCACCAGACTCATTAAGGAACTCCCTTTTCAAACCTGTGACAAAGCTGGGCGTGGCGATGCACACCTGTCATTTCAGCACTGGGAGGCTGAGGCAGGACAGCTACAAGGTGGAGGCCAGCCTGGGCTACATAGAGTTCAAGGCCACCCTAAACTGCACAGTGAAACCCTGTCTCAAAATAAATAAATGAAAATAAAAAAGGAGAGATACCAAAATGCCATAAAAGATTCCATTTCTCAAAAGAGAATTTTTAAAAATGAAAAATTCGAGTAAACCCACCTGTAGATCAAATAAAAGGGGAAGCAACGGGCACATTTACTCCAACCAGGAAGCGTTCCCCAGACTGAGTCTGCTGGAGTAATTCAGAATCATTTCCACCTCAAAGGAGTAGGCCGCCTTTTCCATTCAGTTTAACACTGCTACTCTCAGAAAGAGGGCGAGCTATGGAAAAGTCGGGACTGCGGCGCTGGGCCGGGAACTTGCTGTCACCTGTAGCCCACACGCCCTCACGCGAGCCCCTGGAAGACGTGGCAAGGCCTCCCCAAAGAGCAACCCCGATGCCTGGGAAACCTAAAACTCAGCACAGCACGCACCCCGCCCAGCGGCACCACGCACGCACGGGCACCGGTGCAAAGCCTCCGGCTCGGACACAACCCTGCCCCGCAGCTGTCCCTTTCGGCGTGGCAAGGCCACTGATCACCGCGCCGCTGAGCCCCACGCGGACCCCGCTCCCACCCCCGCAGCCCGCACGACCCCTCCCCAGGTCCCGCCGCCCGCATCCGGGCCCCCCCCCCGGCCTGCCGCCGCCGCCGCCGCCCGCTCCCGAGCGCCTCGTCCCTCTGCAGGGCCACCTCGTGTCACGGTCCCGGCCGCTGCAGGCGCCGCCGCGCTCCCTCCAGGCCCGGGCGACGGGGTCCCCGAGGCGGCCCGCGGGGCTCGGGGGAGGGGTGCTCCGGGCCGCGCGCATGCGCCCCAAGCGCCGCGGGCGCCGGTCGCCCCTAGGCCGGGAGAGGCCCAGTGCCGCCGTCCCCCGCCCCCCACGCCGCCCCTCCGCTCCGGCCGCCGGCTCCGCGCGCCGAAGGATACTTAAAGCCAGCATCTTGGACTGGTAGTCGAAGGCTACCACCTCGCCCTGCAGCCGCTGCTCCTGGCACGTCCGGCACGACACCTGGCTCCCGACGCTGAAGTACTCGCCCGGAGGAGCCGCCATCTTGGGAGAGCAGCCGCGGCCGGCGGCGGCGGCGGCGGGAGCAGCAGCGGGCGAAAGCCGGGCCCCCAGTCAGCTCCGCGCCTCGCCGCAGGCGTGCTGACGTCAGACGTTGGGGCGGGGCGGGGAGGTGGGCGGGGCCTACGCGGCGGGGCGGGAACGCGGAGGGAAGCGGAGGTCAGGCGGCCCTGCCCCCCAGGGCGGGCCAGCGTGGGCAAGCTCCTCGTCGGGCCGGCCTCAAGGACAGGTGACCTCCGTGGATTGCAGAGGAAAAGAGGGGGGCACTGCGTTCTCCATGTATCACACCTTGCACGCAAGAGTTTGACCAATGAACTCCCCCAAATAACGTGTATTACCCTACTCTGCCTCCAAGAATCGGAGGCGCTGAGGACTGAGGGAAGCTGCTCGCTTGCTCGCTCGCGGTGACGGTGACTGAGTACAAAGTGGCTGTGGAGGGACAGTGACTGTCGAGTTGGGCGAAGCCGACTCTGAGCCGAAGGTCTGCCATTTACCAGAGTTTGGAACCGTGAGCACATAAGCTGACCTTGTTTCTTCAGGGGGATCTGCGTATCACTTGAGGAGCACCCAACCACCCTTTGACGTAGGGACCATTACCCCCGTCTTACAGAGGACGAAACTTAAGGGTAGCCAGGCACGGTGACCAACCCCTGTAATCCCAGCACTTTGGGAAGCTGAGCCAGGAGGGTCACAAGTTGGAGCCCAGCCTGGGCAACTTAGTGATTTAGTGAGACCCTGTTTTCAAACAAACAAACGAAAAATAGCTGAAAACTGTTCTAGGTAGAGGTCAGGTGGGAGGAGACTGGCTTGACTCCATTTCTTTCTACCTCAAGTCAATTTGTTTGTTTAGTTTGAGACGGTATCACTATGTAGTTCAGGCTGGCCTTGAACTCACTTTGTAGTCCAGGTCTCGAAGTAGAGGCAATCCTCCTGTCTGAGCCTCCTGACTACTGGGATTTACAGGCGAGTGCCACCATACCTGGCTCTAGCCACTTTTTTTGTTTGTTTTGTTTTGTTTTTTGAGACAGGGTCTCACTAGGCAGTTCAGGCTGTCCTTAACTCTCTGTGTAGCCCAGGCTGGCCTTGAACTTGCTGCAATCCTCCTGCCTCAGCCTGCTGAGTGCTGAGATGACAGGCATGTGCCACCTCAGCAGTTTTTTTTTTTTTCAGTACCAGGGATCGAACTCAGGACCTTGTGCTTGCCAGGCAGGTGTGGTGCCACTGAGCTACATCCTTGGCCCAACTTTTCACACTTTAAAGGAAGCGTGTTACGGCTTCTCTTTGGTGTATCTGCACTGCCAACATCACTACTTCTTCACTTCCTTCGTTATGGAGTAAAATGAAGGTTATTTGAACACAGGCACCATGGCGCTGTAACAATGGACCTGAGTGGCTACTGCTCAGTGACTAAAGAGCACACAGCACAGGACACAGGGATGATTCACCGGATGATTCATGGCCCAGGATGCGCTAGCAGGCTGTTCGGGCTCCCAGGACCCTACTACAGCAGGACTACATGGAATTTTAGACTTGTGACCCAGCCAGGCTTGGTGGCACACGCCTATAGGCTGAGACAGGAGGATCACAAGTTCCAGCACAGTAGGGGCTGCTTAGTGACATATACCAGGATCTCTGGAGAGGCCTGGGCATTTCAAGGAACACAGTGAAGTGGGACAGAAAGATTATAAAGTGAGGCCTAGGGCTATAGCTTTGAGGTTGGGCACTTGCCCAACATGGGGGAGGTCCTGGGTGCGGTCAAGCAGGATGTAAGGGTAAAGTTGGTCCTGGAAGTAAGGACAGAGCAAAGGCAGACTTTTAAAGACTGTAAGAAATCGGGCTGGAGGGGCCGGGGATTTAGCTCAGTGGTTCTGCCCCCTGCCTTGCAAGCGCAAGGACCCGAGTTCGATCCCTGGTACCAAGAAAAAAAAATTGGGCTGGGGATTTAGCTCAGTGGCATCATACCTGCCTTGCAAGCACAAGGTCCTCAGTTCCATCGCCAGTACCAAAAAAAAAAAGAAATTTAGGCTTTCTCTTTGAGGCAACCAAAAAGCATTTAGCATGGAAATGAGCTGAGCTTTGCACCTGGCTTACCTGTCCCACACCTACTCTTCTTGTTTGTTTTTTGAAATAGGGTCTGGCTATGTCGCCTTGAACTGGAGGAGATTCTCCTGCCTCAGCCTACCCAGATTTGGAGATCACAGGTGTGCCCCATCCCTTAATTAGAAATTAATCTCTTTGGGCCTGAGGTTTAGCTCAGTGGTTCCTGGAGCCTGCCTGGCAAGTGCAAGGTCCTGAGTTCGATCCCTGGTACCAAAAAAAAAGAAAAAAAATTAATCTCTTTTGAAGAAGAACCTTACATTCTCATTTTCATCCATCCATCAGAAAACTTCAATGTGAAAGTGGTTAGAGCTCAGCTGCTGAGGTGGCGAAAGCCTGTCATCCCAGCATTGGGAGGCTGAGGCAGGAGGATCACTGTGAGTTAAGGCCAGCCTGGACTGCCTAGTGAGACCCTGTCTCAAACCAAACAAACAAATCGGCTTGAGGTAAGAAGAAATGGAGGAGTCAAGTCTTCTCCCACCGACCTCTACCTAGAACAGTCTTTAGCTTTCTTTGTTTTTTGTTTTGGTGCCAGGGATCGAACTCTGGTCCTTGCGCTTGCACAGCAGGCGGCAAAACCACTGAGCTAAATCCCCGGCTTTTTAGCTTTGCTTTTTTTGGCGTGGATGTGTGCCCTAGGGACACTGTTATTCCTCTAGGTTTATCTGCCTAGCAGTCTTGAATGGCCAGAGAACGTAAGGGGGCAAAGCAAAATTAGACCTGAGAGAATGGTGACTCTTGTTAGGTATGAACATTCTTTTGAGGGGGGAGGGTGTTTCGTGTTTTGTTTTGTTGGGTTGTTTGTTTGGTTTTTGGTACCGGGGATCAAACTCAGGTCCTTCCGCTTGTGAGGCAGGCGGCCGAACCTGAGCTAAATCTCCGGCCCTGTTTTGTTGGTTTTGGAGACAGTGTCTTGCTATGTAGTTCAGGCTGGCTTTGAATTCACAATGCAACCCGGGCTGGCCTCGAAATTGGGGTCCTGCCTCAGCCTCCGGAGAGCTGGGATTATAGGCACGCATGCACCAATTGCTTCGTTAGGGACGATCTCTCAAAATCCAGGGGCTTGGATATCTGTGGACCTCCAAATCAGACAGATGGAGCGGGCGTCTCAAGCCTGGGAAGTCGGCGTCGCCCGACTGGATGGGGGAGAGTGGGGGTCGCAGCCTTCTTCCAGGAGAGCGCAGAGATGGAGGGGGGGTGGGCCGCGGTACAGGAGTAGGGACGTGGAGCGGGCTCTCGGATGACACAGGCGCCTCCGCGGCGGCAGCACACAAACCCGACACGGGTGCATCTGTCCCCTAACCCGGAACAGCAGCCGGGTCCCCGCGCACCCGCTGCCCACGTGCCGATGATGACCACGTGGGCTGCGAAGAAACTCCTTCACACAGGTTTGGCCGCCCGGCCGCCCCGTAGACCGGAAGACTGGGGAGGACGCCGCAGCGGCTCCGGGTGGCAGCGCGCCGGGCGGCGGAGCGGGGCCCGGGGGCGGGTCCGGGGCAGCGACCGGTGGGCGCGGGGCCGGGACCCTGGGGCTCGGCGCCTACCGCAGCCGCCATGGAGTCGGCGCTGGGCGCGGGCATCGCGATGGCCGAGGCGCTGCAGACGCGGCTGCCCTGGCTGGAGAGCGTGTGGCTCTGGGTCACCTTCCTGGGCGACCCCAAGAACCTGTTCCTGCTCTACTTCCCAGCGGCCTACTACGCCTCCCGCCGCGTGGGCGTCGCCGTGCTGTGGACCAGCCTCGTCACCGAGTGGCTCAACCTCGTCTTCAAATGGTGAGACCGGCGGCCGCGGTCCTCTGGCCCCCAGCATCGCGGCTCCCACCCCCCCCCCCGGTCCTCACCCTGCCCCTGGGACCCCGTGCCCAAGTGGGCCAGGCCCCAGTCCAAGTGCTCAGACGCAAACGCTCCAGCTGCCTCCCTGCGCGTCCTCCGCACTAAAGCATGCATCTGGCACCTGAGTGGCGGAGTCCTGCTTCTCAACTCACTGTTTCCTTCATCTGTTCCCTCGCGTGCGTGATGCCGTTAGGCATGTGTGCACTGGGTGTGGGGAGCACGCCTCTGATCCCAGCAATTCAGGAGGCCGAGGCAGGAGGACCTAATGTCCCAGGCCAACCTGAGCAACTCATCGAGACCCTGTCTCAGAAAATACCAAGGGCTCAGTAGTGGGTGCTTGCTTAAGTATAGGAGGCCTTGGGTTCAGCCCCCAGCACCACACATAGGCGCACGCACACACGTGAAGCAGCAGCAGGCTTTGTGCCAGGCGATGCACAGCCCGCCTGCTGATCCATCTGCCCAGCGGCATAGGCAGTACCAGAAGGATTGCTAGAATGCAGCAGCTCGGGCCCCAGGCCAGATCCTCTGCATCAGTTTGTATTTTACCAAAGTTCCTGGGGCACTCTCTTCCCTTCCTTCCCTCACAGACAAGCAGGACTCCGGGCAGGCGGGTGGAGGCCCTGCAGCCGGGGTTATTGCTCTGTGCCACCTGAGGGCTCTTCTGGGTACAGAAGGACCCACCAGGCTGGAAGCCTCCTCCCGTTCTCAGCCTCTGTTGGCACATCTGTCCCGACCTGGGAAGGAAGGGCGGGCCGGGCCAACTTCCTGAAAATCCAGCTCCCAGCCACCTTCTACACCGCTGCTCATCCCTGTCGTCCTTTTCTTCTGGCCTCCGTTCTGTGCTCTGCTCTCTCCTCCCGCACAGCCCCTGTGCGCCTCCCTCGGTGGACACAGCCCCTGGGCTCGGGCCTGGGTGGGGAAGAGCAGGTCCCTTCGGATCTCTCCCCCAGCCCCGCTTCCTGCCTGTGTATGCTCTGCTTCTCTCTGGCCACCACAGCCCGGTCCGGGTGCAGTGCCCAAAGCCGGGCCCACTCCTGCTGGCCAGGGAAGGTTGTTCTCAGGCTCCTCTGTCTATTCCAGGCCCAGGAAGCTGGGCTAAATAATTCAGGCCTGGATGATTCAGTGAGACTGGGGCTGAGGGAGTAGCAGGAGGAAAGAGGTGCGGGGAAGGGCTGGCCCTGCAGAGGGGGAGAGACGGGGGGGTCTGCTTCTCAGAGCCACGTGTGTGTGCACACATACAGTTTCTTTTTTTGTTTTGTTTTGGTTTTTTGTTTTGTTTTGTTTGGTACTGGGGATCGAACTCAGGTCCTTGCGCTTGTGCACCAGGCAGCAAAATCACTGAGCTAAATCCCCAAAAAGCATTTTGTCCATTGGCCAGGAATCTTTTCTTTTTTGAGATAGGGTCTTGCACTGTAATTCTGGCTGGCCTCCAGCTCACTATGTACCCGAGGCGGCCCTTGAACTGGCAGTGATCCTCCTGCCTCAGCCTCCCAAGTGCTGGGATCACAGTATGCACCAGCTTACATGCACAATTTCTTCCCTCAGTATCACTTTTGAAAAATAATGTGCTTTTTCCTATTCCAAGGTGGAAAACTATAGCACAGTCATGGCCAGAAGCAGAGTCCCTTTCTGACCCTTGCCTCTGGGTCTTCCCAGGTCCCCACTGGGTCTCCCTCTCCCGCCCAGGCCTCGGCCCTGTGGTACCGGCTGGCCTCTTCTCTCTTCCAGGTTTCTCTTTGGAGACCGGCCCTTCTGGTGGGTCCACGAGTCAGGCTACTACAGCCAGTCTCCAGCCCAGGTTCACCAGTTCTCCTCTTCGTGTGAAACTGGCCCAGGTCGGCAGGCACAGACCTCCCCCTTCCCTCGGTGGCTGGGTTCCCATGTGTTCTCACCAGGGCTGGCCTCTTAGCTACCAGCCCAGAGAACAAACCCCAGGAAGACCAGGCTGGATGCCAGGGGGGCACCCATGCCACATGCCAGCTGCCCACCTTGTACAGAATGCGGCCGGGAAGCCAGGAGTGTTGAAGTACACAGCACACCTGCAATCCCAGCAGTCTGGGAGGCTGATGCAGGAGGATCACAAGTTTGAGCCCAGTCTGGGCAACTTTGAGACCCTGTCTCAAAAATGTAAAAAGGGCTGGGATGCAGCTCAGTATCCGGGGCTCAATGCCCAGTGTGGGAAGAAACAAACAAAAACACCAAGAGGCAGGCCAGGCAGTGCTTGGGTGGCGTGAGAAGGGCTCAGCTGGGCCAGAGGGAGCGGCTGGCAGAGCTGGGGCCTCCCCAGCAGCATGGTGGGTGCACCTGGGATGCCAGCCCTCAGGCTGAGCTAGGAGGATCTGGGCTTCAAGGACAGCCTGGACTGGGTGGAGACAGCCGGTGACCATGACCTCTGGAAGCTCCCTTAGCCAGGGGAGGCAGCTGTGCCCAGCATCAGCCAGCCCTGGTCCCCACAGGCAGCCCATCTGGACACTGCATGATCACAGGGGCAGCGCTGTGGCCCGTGATGACGGCACTGTCTTCCCAGGTGGCCGCCCGGTCGCGCAGGTAACCACTGGAAGCAGGGGACAGTGTTGGGCTGGGGTGGCTGCTCCGGGGACCCCATGAGCTGTCATCTTTCTCTGCAGCCGCTGGGTGCGGGCCATGCCCGGCCTGGCCTACTGCACCTTCCTGCTGGCCATCGGCCTGTCCCGGATCTTCCTCCTGGCACACTTCCCCCACCAGGTGTTGGCTGGGCTGGTGACTGGTGAGTGCGGGCTGCGGTGCTGGGCCCTGCAGGTCTCCTGCCCTCCACACCTCCGTGACACCGCCTCCCCTCGTACCCCAGGTGTGGCCCTGGGTTGGTCGATGGCCCCCCGAGTGCCCATGGAGCGGGAGCTCAGCTTCTACGGGCTGACTGCACTGGCCCTCATGCTGGGCGCCAGCCTCATCTACTGGACCCTCGTGACGCTGGGCCTGGACCTTTCCTGGTGAGTCGCACTCCGCCCTGGGCAAGCTGGGCTGTCCCACCTTTGTGAGCCCCTCGGCCTTCCTCCCTCAGCCTCCTGAGTCACTGAGATTAGAAGCTGGTGGGTCTTGGGTTCATTATGGCTAAGAGGACCCGTGACCTGTCCTCCGACGTGGGCCCTCCCCGGTCACAGCAGGACATGCATGGGCCCTGTGGGCCCCCAGGCCCCGCTCCCCCTCAAGGTGCTCCCCCCGCAGGTCCATCAACCTGGCCTCCAAGTGGTGCGAGCGGCCTGAGTGGGTGCACATCGACAGCCAACCCTTCGCCTCGCTGAGCCGAGACTCAGGGGCGGCCCTGGGCCTGGGCATCGCCCTGCACTCACCCTGCTATGTCCAGATCCGAAGGGCGAGGCTGGGAGGCAGGCAGAAAGTAGCCTGCCTGGCACTGACCCTGGCGCTGCTGGGGGCCCTGAGTTGGCTGGGCCACCCACCCCAGGCCAGCCTCTTCTATATCTTCAACTTCCTGCAGTACACACTGTGGCCCTGCCTGGTCCTGGCCCTGGTGCCCTGGCTGGTCCTCACCCTCAGCACCCCACAGGCCCCGCCCACCCGCTCCTCGTGACTGAGGCCTGGACCACACTCCAGAGCACAGGGCTCCCCTCCTCCCAACACCTGGTCTTCGCCCTGAGGGTCTCCTGTCTCCCTGAGAGGGCAGGACACCCCTGCCCTCCCTCCAGGGCCCCAAGCAAAGGCAGCAAGACCTCTGCATTGCTGCGGGGGGGGGGGGACACGACATGGGACACCCTGGACGGCAATAAAGTCCTTAAACTTGGGATACCTCTGTGCCTTTTTTTTTTTTTTTTGGTACTGAGGATCGAACTCAGGACCTTGTGCTTGTGAGGCAGGCGGCAGAACCACTGAGCTACATCCCCTGCCCGCTTTGTTGCTTTTTTGAGATGAGCTCTCACTCTATAGTTCAGGCTGGCTTTGAACTCTGTCTCCTACCTCAGCCTCCTGAGTGCACCACCGGGCCAGCTTGGGTCCCTGTCTTTCAGGTGCTCACCCCTTCACCGACCTTCCTCAGGGAGCACTGAGTGTGGGAAGGGAGTTGGCCCTTGGGGCCACTTGCTGTCTTTGGCTTCCTGCAGCTGATGCCTCTCCCTGAGCAAAGGCTGGCCGCACCCCTGGTCCTGGCTGTATGGGCTGGTGGCTGGCAGAGGGGCAGCAGGGACGGGGCGCCAGGAAGCTGAGCCCACCCGCTCTCCAGGGGCCCCTGCGGCCCCCGCTGTGCCTGAAGAAGGCAGGGAGTTGGGCCAGGACCAGCCCCGGCCCCTCTCCTCTGCAGGCTGTGGGCCAGACCGTCTGGCAGCGGACACACCTCCATTCCTGCCCTGGCAGAGCCGTGGACAGGGTAAGGGCGGGCAGCTGGTCCTGAGGCCACAGGGCCACTGGACTTAAGGCCAAAGCCAAGGCACCAACCCTTAGCTCCGCCTCAGAGCTGCTGGCAGGGGAGGACTGCGTAGGGCACAGGCGAGGGTGCCCAGTGGGGCTGGGCAGGGCCTGGGCACCCTGAGAGACCCACACCACACTGTTTAATGTGTGACTTTTTGTTTTTAATACAAAAAATAAACAAAATCACAATGATGAAGGCCGGGGCGGGGTCACAGGGCGGGCTCCTGCTCCATGGGCTCCTCTGCAGGCCTGTGGGACAGATGGGGCTGAGCAGCTGCGGAGGCGTGAGGCGGGCATGGGCGGCACAGGCAAAGCGGGCGGGCGGCGCTCACCTGGGGCTGTGCTCCCGGGCCGAGGCCTGTGCCTGCTCGGCGCCCACAGACAGCAGTGCCATGGCGCTCACAGTCTCTGCCTCCTCCGCCTCACCTGCCTGTGCCTCCCGCAGGGAGCAGCCCAGGCCGGCTGAGAACCTCTGCACACAGCTCCAGTGTTTGCCTGGGGGCACAGGCAGGGGCAGGGGCGGGTCAGGGCCCCCAGCCCTGGCCCCCAATTCCCACCAGGCTAGGGTCCCCCCTCGTCCACGAACCCTGGATCTCAATGACTTTCTCAAGCGTGGCCACCGCGTTGACGTTGGGCTTCTGCTGCAGCACGGCCTCATCCAAGGGCTGCAACTGGCAGGAGAGAGGGGGCTTGGGCATCAGGACAGGCAACCTGCCTGGGACACCCCGGGCTGGCCCGGCCCTCACCTCCACGCTGAGCAGGGCGGAGACACAGGCCTCAGAGGCATCACAGATGGCGGTCAGGTCATGGCCCCCCTCCAGGGCCAGCACCACCCGGCCCCCCGCCAGCGTCATCAGCTGCCTGGTCAGGTGGCCGAAGCCTTGGAGGGGAGAGGGAAAGCAGAAGGTGAACAGAGAGCGGGCACACTGAAACCCCACCTAAGCAAACCTCAGGGCAGGGGGCTGAGGGGTCTGTCGGAGATGAACACTCAGCGAGGGAATCGCCACCGCCCGGCCAGGCATGGGGCTCGCCTGCCATCCCACCACTTAAGGAGCAGGCAGAGGATCCCTGACAGTTTGAAGCCAGCCTGGGCTACACAGCAAGACCCTGTCTCAAAACTCCAAAAATAAAAATAAAATAAAATAAGGTTCCCAGTCGCCCCCAGCCGCGCAGGGCAGATCCCTGCTGCCCTTCTACAGTGGCCTGCCTTATGCCCCTCCCTCCCCGGCCCCAGCGGCTCACATCTGGCAGTGACAGAGTAGCCACCCAGGGGGGACAAGTGTCCTTCCACAGCGTCGAAGCCAGCGGAGACGAGAACCACGTCGGGCGCGAACTCCTGGGCGATGGGCATGACCACTGTCCTGCAAGCACGCCCTCGGCTGGGACCACGCCCTCGGCGCCTTTGCGGCGAGGCCATGCCTTCTCCCCCCCCCATGCCAGGACCACGCCCACCCCTCGACCCTACCTGAAGGCCGTCAGGTACTCCACGTCACCGATGGGCGGGTCCACGCCACCCGTCCAGGCCACGTTCACGTTGTACCCCACGCCGGGGCCCCCGCCAACCTGGCAGTGGGCAGGAGGGAGGGCAGATGTGACTCTCAGGCGGGGGCCCGGCAACCCAGCCTGCCTCCCAGGACCCAGCCGCACCTCCTCGGGGGCCCCAGAGCCCGGGAAGAAGTTGCCGTGGTCGTAGCGGTGCAGCGAGATGTAGAGCACCGAGGGGTCGCTGTAGAAGGCCTGCTGCGTGCCATTGCCGTGGTGGATGTCCTGTGGACGGGACACGCCTGACCTGCCAGCCTCCACTCCAGCTGGGCCGGGCCCACTGCGCCAGGCACACACTATGACGCGGGGCAGCCTGGAGTGCACTGAGGCTGGGGGTCCCACATCCACCATCTTCTCTGTTTCTCTGGGTTCTCGGGAAGGGGCCCCGGTTCCGGTGCCTGCCAGGCAAACGCTCTACCACTCAGCCACATCCCTAGCCCTTTCATAAAATTTTTAATTATTTCAGACAGGGTCTCACTATGTAGTCCAGGCTGGCCTTGTCAAACTCATGGCAATCCTCCTGCCTCAGCCTCCCCAGGAGCTAGGAGTATAGTTGTGTGCCACCATGCCTAGCATTTACATGAATTTTTTTTTTTTTTGGTACCGGGCATCAAGCTCCAGTTGTTGTGCTTGCGAAGTTGCGCTTGCGAGGCAGGCGGTGGAACCACTGAGCTAAATCCCTGGCCCCGTTTGTATGAATTTTTAAACCAAAATTGGGCTCTAAAGGTTTTGCCAGTGCTAGGGATTGTTCCTGGCGAGGTCCCCAAGCACAGGGAGCAGAAGAGGGTGCAGCGCCCCCATCTCTGTGGGCTCGGTGGGTGGCTGGTGGGGCTCTCACCCAGACCTTCACTCCCACCACTCGGGGTGGCTGGCTCAGGAGCTAGTGGGTCCCTGACGCCCGTCAGCCCGGGCTCCGGCCTTCTAGCAGCGGCAGTGGCACTGTCGCTAGCGGCTCAGGCTGGAAAGCCCTCCGCTGTGGGGCTGCAGGGGAGGCACCCTGGGGCCTCTCCAACTGGCGGGAGCTGTGGGGTGCAGCGCCTACCCAGTCTACGATGAGGACCTTGCCCACGTTCAGCTTCTGCTGCAGCAGCTTGGCCGTGATGGCTACGGAGTTGAAGAAGCAGAATCCCCTGCGGGCGGGGAGAAGGGCGGGTGTCACCTCGGAACAGCAGGACAGGGCTGCCCAGACAGGACGGCGGGACTGGCACTCACATGGCCGTGGACTGCTCGGCGTGGTGTCCTGGGGGCCGGATGATGGCAAAGCCATTCTGAAAAGGTGCGGGCAGAGAACAAAGGCCGGACACAGGGAAGCAAGGTGGCCAGGGAGGGTGGGCATGGGGACAGGAGCAGAAGCCAGGCAAGGAAGGGGACACGGGTCAGACAGGCACACCGAGCGGAGTGTCAGGGCACCGCACAGGTCCCGAGTGTCAATCCCGGTGCTGGTCCCTGGGTCTCTTAGCCTCTGGCTGTCCAGGGGCTGTCACCACCCTCCTCTGGCCCCCAGGAGCTGAGCTGCAGAGGACAGAGCCTCAGGGAGGGGAGGCCACGCCTGCCACTGTCCCTGCCTCACCTTGAGCTCGCCCACGGCCACCTTGAAGGCCAGCTCCAGCAGGCACCCCACGGCCATGCGCACAGCACTGGAGGAGTGCATCTCATTCCACACAGTGTCGCTGTCCACCTGCAGCGGGCATCGGCTCAGGACGGGTGGGGTGGGCGCCAGCCCTGCCCACCTATCCCCGTGGGCACCTGCAGCCCACTCACCCCAATGCCCCCACAGGGCAGCACGGCGTACATCTTCTGGCTGATGGGGCCTGCGGGGCACAGGGACGGAGCTGCCACATCGCTCCTGCTGGGCCAGCCTGCCACCCAGCCTCCAACCGGGCCCAGGAGCCACCCTCACCGAGCAGCTTCTTGCTGTCCAGCTTCTGCCGGTTGAGCGGGCTTGTCCCATAGAGCAGCGTGTGGAACTCTGAGTGCACCGTCTGGATCTCATCCAGGGTGGCCTTGCGGCCCCGCACCCGCTGCGGGGTGGTGAGAGGCTGCGTGGGGCTCTGCACCTGTGACCCCGAGCCCAGGGGCCCCGGGCCACCCCGGACTCCACCCTGCTTCGGGCCAGAACAGGAGGGCGACAGGCGGGGGGAGCGGGACGTGGGAGCGGGCGCCAGTCCTCACCTCGCACCTCCCCAGCAGGCCCGTCTCCTGCAGCCTCGACCAGATGCTCTGGATGCGGCCAGCGTGCTCAGGGTGGACGTGCGTATTCCCGCACACGCACTGGTGCTTCAGCATGAACGTGTCGTACACCACGCCTGGGCACAGACTGGGTCAGTCGGCGGCCATCCCCAGCCACACGCGCCCAGGGCTGAGCTCCCTCCCTGCCTGGCGCGCATGCCAGGGCACAGACAGACCCTGAGCCCAGTGCGGCGGGCAGAGGGAGCCGCACTGCAGTGCCACCCTGATCAGCCGCAGGAGCAGAGGCCGGAGCAGGCGCTCACCGGTGGTGAACAGGTGCTTGGTGGGCGGGTCTGGAGGGCTCTTCACACCCCCTGGCGCAGCAGGTGAGGACTGGGTGCGGCCCAGGGCCTGGTGGGGCACGGCGGCCAGGCTGAGGGGTGCCTGGTACACGTGCAGGGGTGGCAGCTGCTGGGCATCTGTGAACAGCTGGGGCGAGGGGTGGGGGTGAGGCAGGTGATGAGGGGCAGGTGCCCCAACCCCACACTGCCCGGAGGCCCAGGCCCGCAGGGCTCCTGGGGACAGGCCCGCCGCCTGCCTGCCTGTGCACATCCCCGGAGGGACCGTGAGTCAGCGAGCAGCTCTGAGGTAAGCAGCGGGGGCGGGGATGAGTCAGGCCGCTGGGCCCTGCGCTGTGAATGGAGCGCTGTAGTAGCAGCAGGCAATGCGTACACACCGCAGCGCAGGACACTGCAGCGCACACGGCACCAGGGCCCCCAAGCTTGGCACGGGGTGGAAGGGCACCTCTGTGTAGCCAGCGCCGGGCTCCTCCAGGTCGGGCCCCTCCTCAGGGCCACTGTCGCCCGCTGGGTCCTGGGCCTGGACGCAGCCGTCCTCCCCGTCCTCCTCCGCCTCCTCCTCCTCCTCCTCCTCCTCCTCCTCCAGGTCCTCCTGGGTGCTCTCGCTCTCCGTGGAGCCCTCCCGGGGCACCGCCAGGGCCCCCTCACCCAGTAGGGCCTCCTGCTGCTCCGTGAGCTCCTCCTCGGTTTCCTCAGGGTGTGTGGTGGGCGGCCTGGGCAGCTCCCCAGTCTTAGTGAGGATCTGGGGGCAGAAGGCAGGGGCACACACCTCTCATCCCAGCACTAGGAGGCCGAGGCAGGAGGACCGCGGTGAGCTCCAGGCCAGCTTGGGCTACATAGCAAGACCCTGTCTCAAAACACCAAGAAACAGAACAGGAAAGCCGCACACGCCCGGCCGCCACCGCCCGGTACCTTGCCCAGCTGCAGCTGCTGCTGCTTTTGCCTCTCCAGGAACTGCTGCTGTGTGACGAGCTGCTGCAGGGCCTGGGGGCTCTGCGGTAGCGGCGAGGACTGCGTTCGACTCAGCGGCCGGTGCCGGGGGAGCTTGCCCGCTGTTCGCATGCTGGTGGCCACACGCTCGCCTGTCACCAGGGGTGACTGCCCGTGGATCGGCACTGGGGAGGGGAGGCGCGTGAGCCATCTGTGCTGCACGGGGCCTGGCACCCCAGCCCAGCCCAGCCCCGAGCCCCCCGGGTGCACACAAGGTCCTGGGCCACCACGTGCATGGGCAGCCAGGCAGCGCTGACCAGGCCCCCAACCAGCCCGGGGCCAGGGTGGACGCCCACCCTCCCAGGACCTCGGTGATGCCCACAGGCACCTGAGTGCTGTCCTCCTTTGAGCCACGTGAGCCACAGCTGCCGCCTGTGAGTGGCCACAGAGACCTGGGAACTCAGCCTGTCTACACTGCTCGGCGGACCCCAAAGACTCAGTGTGAAACTGGTAAAATCCCCAGCAGTGACTACAGTCCGTACACAGAGTTAATGTTCTTAATATTACTTATGTACTTATTTACTTCGTTGATTTTTTTGCCAGGGTCTCGCCATGCAGTTCAGACTGACCTTGAACTCACTACATAGCCCAGGCTGGCCTCGAACTCTCAGTGATCTTCCTGCCTCAGCCTCCCAAGATCTGGGACTACAGGTGTGCACCACCACACCAGCCTGAATACAACTTAAATATATGGCATAAAACTAATTCCTTGCCATCCCCTTCCCTTTCCCTTCCCTCCCTTTTTGAGACACAGTGTGTAGCCCAGGCTGCCTGTGAACTCATGGTGACCCTCCTGCCTCAGCCTCCCGAATGCTGGGTGGCATGTCCCACCATGCCTGGCTCTTTCTAACCCCTCCAGCATGGCTGTCCCCACTGAACAGGAACCGGCGGGGTCCCCACGCCCACTCACCTGCGATGAGGGTGCTCTGCTGCCGGGCCTGCTCCAGCAACAGCACGTGCTGCAGCAGGGACGCGTGCCCGTGGGTGCCCACATCACCCTCCAGCGCCACGCCCAGCAGGCAGCCCGGGATGGACGAGGTGCTCGTGAACTTGCCAGTCAGCGGGCCACCCGGCTGCAGCGCCTGGAGGGCCTGCCTCTCGGCCTCCTGCTGCGTGGCCAGCTTCGGGGAGGCCTGGCGGGGTCGGGAGGTGAGAGGAGCCCCACACCCGGCCCTGGGCTGTCGCCCCGTCCGCCCAAGGCTCTCACCGTGAGGTGCGAGTTGGAGACAGTGACTGTGGCCTGCAGCCCGAGGGAGATGTTGGGCAGCGACGGAGACGTGTAGAGGCTGAACTGGCTGGGGGCGGCATCCAGGGCCAGGGCCCGGTGCTGCGGGAGCATCTGAGGAGCGAAGGCAGGCTGAGGGCAGCTGGGGCCTGCGCTGGGCCACAAGGGGCCGTGCGCACCCCGGTCCTGGCCCACGGGCTCGGCGTCCTACCTCGGTGGGGATGTTGGGGACTGAGCCCGCGAAGCCGTTCTCAGCGATGGTGCCGTGGGAGCTGTTGGGAGAGCTGGGGCCGGAGCCGGGCGCGCTGTTACACACGGACGGCGCTGCGGAGAAGCGGCTGTCACTGGGCCTGCCCTGGCCATCCACCCGGCCCCCCAGGATGGGACTGCGGGAGCCCTCACCCCCAGGGCCGGCGCCCGCGATCCCCACGGCTCTCTTCTTGAAAGTGCTGACCACGGCCCCGTCCTTGCGGCGCAGCAGGGGGCTGCTTCTCCGCTCGGCCACCTTCTGCTTTAGCCTCGAGCGCACCTTCAGGTTGGGTTCCGAGGCTGAGGGGCGTGGGGGCTCAGCGTGCTGCCCGGGCCCTGGCCCAGCCCAAGGCCCGCCTCTGCCCGCTGCCCCCGCCCGCCAGTGCAGGCCGCCTCGCACACACCGGTCTTGCGGAGGGGGAAGTCGTCGCGGCTGTCGTAGGGCCCCAGGAGAGGCAGCTTGTAGGAGGGAGGCGTCCCAGGGGGGCCGCTCTGGGGAGGGGAGCTCTGGTCCAAAGAAGCATGGTGGGCTCCCCTGGGAGAGGCGGACCAGTCACCCCGCGCCCAGCCCACCGCCGCCCAATTAGGGGTGGTCCCTTGGACACAGGGACAGGGACGGGTCCTGGTGGGCAGAAAGGGGGGGGCCGCCCCAGCATTACCAGCACTTGGGGTGCTGAGGGAGGGAATGGTTGAGGCCGCCTGGCGTGGGCTCCTTCGACTTGGACAGGAGGAACTCCTGCAGCCGCAGCTTCACCTCGGTGCTGGCGATGGCACCTGTGGGTGGGGCCGCTGAGCTGGGCGCCAGCCTGGGCCCCAGCAACCCCACCGCCCCCATCCTTACTCTCTTTGCTCTTCTCCTTGTGGCGCAAGACGAGCAGCTGCTGCTCCAGCCGCTGCCTCTCCAGCTCCTCCTGCCGCTGCTGCTCGCGCTGCCTCTGCTGCTCCAGATCGCGCTGCCGCTGGGCCGCCAGCCTCTCCTGCTGCTGCTGCAGGCAGGCGGAGGGTGGCATGAGCAGACGCGGGCGGCGGGCAGCGGGCAGGGCAGGGCCAGGGCCGCCGCCCCGAGCTCACCTGCAGGTGTTTCTGCAGCTGCGCCTCGTGCTGCCGCGTCAGGTGCGCGTGCTGCTTCTGAAACTCTGCGAACAGGAGCTGTTTCTGCAGCTGCTGCTGTTGCTTCAGGGCCGCCAGCTCCTGTTGCAGCTGCCGCTCCCGCAGCACAGGGTCCGTGGGGTCCACAGGGTCTATGGGCCCGGCCGGCGCCCCCCGCCGCACCCCGGGGCCCACAGCACTGGGCATGGCCCCGGGCAGTGCTGGCTTCACCTCCACTGCGGGCACAAGAGGAAGATGCAGGCCGGGGATGTAGCTCAGTGGTTCCGCCGCCTGCCTCGCAAGCGCAAGGTCCCGAGTTTGATCCCCGGTACCAAAAAAAAAAAAACCAAACAAACAAGAGGAAAATGTTCAGTGGGCACCAGGCAGGGCGACCGGGCCCCGAGTGCAGCATGGGCATCAGGACACGTGCCGGACACTGCCATCCACCCAGTGAGGAGACTGCACCCGGGACTTGGGGAGGGAGGCGTGCGAGGGGTGCACAGCTGGGGGCACAGCGCTGCTGGGCAAGTGCAGGCCCCGGGCTCTGGCCCCAGCACTCGGGAGCCTCAGGCGGGAGGGAGGCTGTGAGGTCAGGGCCAGCCTGGGCTAAGACCCTGTCTGAAAAGAGGCTGAAGAGAAGGAAGAGGCGGCAGCCGGGGAGGAGCAGGGGGAGGAGCGCAGTGGCCGGTGGGCAGGGATCGGCCAGACACTGGGCGTGCAGTCACTGCCTGAGCACTGCTGCTGCCCCCCTCACAGACGAGGAAACTGAGGCCTAGAGAACGTGACAGACCCAGCCGAGAGGCTGAAGAACCAGGCTACGAAGACAAACCCTGCGCCTTGCTCACTTTCCTGTGCCTTCTCTGGACCTCACAACGCCACTCCCCTGCCAAAGGCTACAACACCAGACAAACTGAGGCACAGAGGCTGGCTCCAGAGCTGGGGGCACCACCTGCTCACCCCACCCTCTCCACCTCCACTGGCAGGGCAGGGGCAGGAGAGCTGGGATGGAAATGGGGGAAGGGACAGAGGGAGCTGGGAGCCAGCCTAGCTTCCTCTGCTGCATTATCTCTTCTCAACAGTTTTATTGTGATTACCCTGAATACCCCGCTATATAGAGAGCAAGCCAAACAGCAGCTGTGCAGGGGGAGGGGACAGGAAGCAGGGCGAGGAGGCGGCCCTCAGCCCCATCCTGCTGCAGAGGGAGCCAGGGGCGGGTGGGGGATCTCGGGGGTCCCAGGACCTGAGCCCCCACCGCGGACAGCGGGCAGAGATGGTTCAGACCAGGTGGACTCATGTGGGCCGACCTCAACCTCCTGATCCCTGAGCACTGTGCCCTGGTCACCGAACATCACTCGCCCCACAGCCCTGTGGTTGCTAGGGTGACAGGGCAAACACTTCCGCCAGCAAGGAGCCCCAAGCCCAGCCCATCAGGAAGGGCAGGCAGGAAGCTGGCCAGGGAGGAGGAAGTGAGAAGGCAGGACCAGCCCATCTGGTTTCTTTTCCACTTTTCCCAAAGCCAGGCCCCTCTCTCCTCCAACAGTCCAGGAAGCCCACAGGAACGGGAAGGGCTCCGGTGCCAGGCGGCCTGTGGAGCACACAGGACCCCAATCCTGGACAGCTGCAGTGACAGGCCACTTCCCTGCCTGCCAGCTCAGGGCAGGACAGGAGCCAGAGTGTCATCTAGGCAGGCGGGGCTGAGGAACCCCAGGCGGCGGGTGCGTGTGTGTGTGTGTGTGTGTGTGTGTGTGTGTGTGTGTCTGGGGAGCCTGACTGGTGTCTGCCTCCAACAAATGCTGCTCCCAGAGGCGGCTGGCACATTCCTCAGTGGTTTCCCGTCAGCCATGCTGACGACTCTGAGGCCACCAGGCCAGAGCCACATCTGCAGGAGTGGCCAGATGTGCCCAGGAGGGTGGAGCCTTCTGCGCACACTCAAGCACACACCCCCTCAGTCCCCGCCCACAGCCCCTGAAATTGGCCCTTCGGGGAAGCAGCCCTCATCCAGATGAAACTCGGGCATCCAGAGAGGACCCGGGCAGGCTGCAGGGCTCTCTCTAGGCAAGCCACTTGCCCAGGGAAGGGCAGGGGTCCAAGCGCTCCTGGCTCCCAACAGATAACCCACTCGGGCTGGAACCCAGGCCAGAGGGCTGCCTTCCCTCGCATGCAGCTCAGACATAGGATCTCCCTCAGCCGCTGCCCTGAGCTGCCTGGCTGTGCCATGTGGGACCCACAACCCCACTGGCAGCTGGAGGATGGACAGGCCTCCTCACAGCCCTGCTCCCAGCAGGTGGGAGCCCGGGCAGTGGAGGGTTTGATTTGCAGCAGCTCAGAATACACCAGGGCTCTGCCAGGTGGCAACCTGGCTCTGCCCAGATTGGCAGGGGCCATGGCTGTGCAGCTGGACTCCAGAAGGAAGAGGCAGGCCTGGAGACCCCAGAATGTTGTCCGCAGTGCACAGAGCCCAGGGCCTAGCTGGCCAGGGCATCCTGGAGGGTCGGTGCCCTCAGCCCACTTGGCACGAGTGGAACAGGTGGCAGCAGCTGCCACCAAACCGAGCCCCTGGCAGGGAAGTGGGGGGTAGGAGGCTGGGCAGAGGGGTGCTGTTACCCACAGGGGCGAGCTGGATACTCCACGCAGCAAAACGCCCCCGGAAGTCCAGGAGGGGGTCACAGGGGGTGCTCCCCACCCAGCTGCACTGATAGCTCTGAGAACCCAGAAACCAGCTGGTCACAGCGCCCTGTCCTGATGCTGACCCTAACTGCACAGCGGGTGGCTGGGGCTGCAGCTCCATCCAGCGGCCCGTAGGCCCTGAGCTCTGGCTCAGCCAGGGCCCCTATGCCAGCCCAGGGGACAGTAGAGCGGGGGCGCCCCCTCCTGTCCACCCAGTTGGCCTGTCCTCCTCAGGTGCCTCATAAACTTGGTGGGCTCTGGGACAGACTGCTGGGCAGCACAACCGGGGAAGACGGCTCCACAGCAGCACCAACAGCACCAACGGCAGCCCCAGGACCTCGGCCAGCACCGCCCCGGTCTAAAACCATGACCCCATGCGTGGCCTTGGAGAGCAGCTCTGGGCAGCACCTGTGCGCAAGGCTAAACCTCACACCTGCCCGCTGCACGGCCCTCAGAGTCCAGCAGGGGCGGTGCCCAGTGCTCCCTGGACAGCCCTGGGGTGGCTCTGTGTACAGGCCCGCCCAGCCCACTCTGAAGTGTCCTGACCTGGAGCCAGTGGCCTCAGAGGCCCAAGGAGGAGGAGACACGGGTTGGTCTGCTCAGAGTCCTTCGCTGAGAGGCTGGTGTGACGGCCTTTGTGTGCATCCACGCTGCACACTGGGGCACAGGCAAAGACACCTCGCGTCTCAGGGAGATGGCTGTGCCCAGAGCAGCCCAACTGGGAAGAGCGGCGCCCCCACCAAGCAGGCTGGGCCCACCAGAGCCCCAGTCAAGCCCGCTGCAGGCAGCACTCTCCATGCCGGACTGGTTCTGTCCCTAAGAGGGGGAGGCTCCCGCCCATCCCTGCCCCTGCCCGAGGGCACTGGGAGGGAGGCAGGGGCCCAGACGTTCCCACCACCGTGGCTGGTTCCCAGGATCTATTTCTGGGCTCTTACGTGAATAGGGAGGCCGTGGTTGGTGCAACAGGTTCCGCCACAATTCTGACAGCATTCCCCTGTGTGGCCCGTGATGCTCACCAGCGATTTGCCCAACCAAGGAATGGTGAGGCCGGGGCTGGGGTGGAAGTGGGCATGGACAGTGCCACCTGCTGGGCTGCGGTGCCGGGGTCCAGCTCAGAGCCGGGTACCGGGTACCAGCGAGCTACAGCACAGCACCTGCCTCCGGGCTACAGACCAGGCCCGTCCTGGGAAGCGCTCGCTGCTCCATGGGGGCCCTGGCAACACAGGCGCCTGCCTAGAGGCCAGGGAGCATTCCCAGACCCCAAGCAGAATTCCACGGGGCCAACTTCACAGACCCCAGGTGGCTAGGACACTGGGCTCCCTCCTGCGTCCCGAGGCCACGCTGCGACCCTGTCCCCCAAAGCCCCTCCAGGGCCAGGTGCAGCACCTCTGAGGCACCTCACCCGCCTGCTGTCCCCAAGAAGGGCCGCTCTGTCCTCCATGGTGGGGACATGGCACCGCAGCCTGGCACTCGTGCACACGGGCTGCATCCCTGCCCTCGGGACGGCCTTCCCGGGTCCCTTCCCTCCCCCGACCCACACCCTCCTGCTGAGCACCTGGAGGACCTGTGCCCCGTGGTGACACACAGCCACGTGACACTGTCTCCTGAGGACACCAGGGCCTGGAGACGCAACTGTCCCAGCCAGAGGGGCAAACCCTGCCAGGGGCCCCAGGACGGAGGTGGGGGTCGCCAGCCATCCTGGCTCTGCCCTCCCCCACCCGGCTGTGCCATGGAAGAGGAGCCGGGCATGGTGGCGCACGCGTCTAGTCCCAATCCTTGGGAGGCTGAGTCGGGAGGATGACTGTAAGTTCACGGCCAGTCTGGGCTACACTGAGAGCCTGTCTCAAAAACAAAGCAAAGCCAGAAGGGAAATCCAAAGGCTGCTCCTGGATACCCCAAGAGCTGCGGCAGGAGCCCTGCACAGCACCACAGTCACAGAATCTGGACAAGGCAGCTAGCCGACTCTGAACACCAGGGCCCGGGAGCACGGGGCACAAGGGGGCTGGATGCAGGGAGTCCCAGGAGCTGGTGCTGACCCTGATTGTGAACGCTAAGCTGGCCATGGTGGCGCATGCCAGTAATCCCAGCACTCAGGAAGCTGAGGCAGGAGGAACTGCAAGTTCAAGGCCAGCCTAGGCTACAAAAACAAAAAGTCCTGACAGGGCTTTGCAGCCCGGGGGACACACACCGTGAAAAAGCAGGCCAAGTGCCTGTCTGGGAAGGCAGACTCCACCTCCTGGCATTCCCAGGAAACACTGGGAGCTGAGCTGGGTGCTATACAAAGGCACAGGGCCAGCCAACTACCCAGCTGCGGGCTGGGACGCAGGGCTGGTGGGAGACCGGCCTCCACCCACACACAGCCAGCCTGACAGCCAGAGGCACCTGGCCCCTCCGCACCTGCGTGCTGGGGACCAATGGCCTCTCTCCTAGCTAGGCCCTGACACCAGGGCTTCTGGGGGGCCGGGATCGCCAGGGTGGCTGGGCCCACTGCCCCGACTGCACAGGGTGCAAGAAGGGAGCCTTCCTTCCTCCAAGCAGGGCCCGGCCACAGACGACAGTTAGCTAATGCTGGCCGCGCACTCGTGCACACACTCCCTGGAGCATCTGCCAGGACCGGGCCTGACACCCACCGACCCGCATCCCGACTGCCGGCTGTCACAGCTGCATGTGCGAACACAGCGAATCTGATTTCCTGTCTGGCAGCCATGCAGCTGGGAAAGGACAGCTGAGGGCACAAGAACAAGAGGCCCAGGGCGGGGAGCTCAATGCTGCTTCCTCGGGGCCCAAGTCCACACAGGTAGAGACTTCCAAGCGATCCTGCGTATTTAAAGGAAGCGGGACCCCCCCTCAGAACGCCCAGGAGAGCTCCCCAAGGCCAGAGTGGTCCCTGTTCTTTGGGAGCACAAACTGGGCCACAGAGGCAGCCTGCCATGTAAAGTTACACAGGTCATACACTGCACATGGCAGCCAACTGAACCAGGGCAAGTTGGGGCTGGAACCTAACCCACGCTCCAATTGCTAAGCTGTGACACTGGCACAGGGGTACATCCCCCCAGAAGGGCCACCTTTAACAAGGGCCACAAAAGCAGCTTTAACAAGGACCCCACACCAAGATCTGAGTTCAAATCCCAGCTCTGGCTGTGACCTTGCCAAGCCCCCTGACCTCTGTGGTCCTTCTCACTTGGAGACGTGTTACTAACACCCTTCCTACAGGGGATAAGGCAGGGGAGCCCCCAGTACTCCTACACCTGCCACATGGGAAGACTGCTCCCCACCAGGGCTGGCTCCACACCGGCACACCTTGTGTCACACAGAGGGAAAGCCTGGGGCCCATCCGAATCCAGAGCACCTCCCTGCATGGGGACAGAGGTCCTCTGGTGTCTTCTCCCAGGACTGGGGACCAGACTCAGGGCCTCCACACTGACCAATGTCCTAGCTCTTTTTATTCTTTGTTTTATTTTGTGCCAGAGTCTCGCTAAATCGCTGCTAGCCAGGTTGGGCTCTAACTTGGGATCCCCCTGCCTCAGCCTCCCTTCACGCCCTGCACACTACTACCCAGGCATCAGCCAGACCAAGGGCCACAGAGGGGAACCCCGCGTCCAGGTCAAGAGAGCAGCGACTCCTGGGAAGCTCACGGTGAGCTGAGAGCTCAACCCTGCAGACCCCACCATGGCTCCAAGACTCGACTTTCCTCTCAGGAACAGCAGTGTGCCTGGCCCTCCCCGGCAGGACCTGCTGTGCTTCAGTCACCAGAGGGCCAGGCCCCAGAACAGAGCCGGGAACGGCTCCACCCACTGCGGTGTCCATCCAGGTCCCAGGCACCGTGCTTGGCGCTGAGCACTGGCAGCCAGCAGGACAGCAGGTACCCACCCCTTCATCCCAGCACTCAGGAGGCGGAGGCAAGAGGATCACTGTGAGTTCGAGGGCAGCCTGGGCCACACAGTAAGACACTATCTCAGAAAAATCAAAATAACAACAAAAATGTGGCCAAGAGGGCCGGGGATTTAGCTCAGTGGTTCCGCTGCCTGCCTCGAAAGTGCAAGGTCCTGTGTTCAATCCCTGGTAACATATAATAAAAAAAAAAAAGAAAAATATGACCAAGAGAGCAAAGGCTGCCCTTCAAACTGCCGAAAACCTGCTGCTGGGATGGCGGGGAAGCCCCATGCGGACGGCCCTCTCTCTAACCCTTCGGACCGGGAGCCCGGGACACACATGCTGCCTGCCATCAAGAAGGAATGAGGGCGCTGCCACAGCCACGGGCACCGGGACCCCAAGTCCTGTCGGGACGTGGGACAGGCAAGAAACAGCAGGCTGCCGCCCAGTCCCTCACCACCCTGCTTATCTGGGGTGGGCATTTTTTCTAAGCCAAAGGTTAAAGTGTTTCTATTTGAAACATCTATTTACATTCCAGAGTCCAAAAAAGAAAAAGGAATACAGGCAGCCAAGCCCGGGGCTGTATCTGTCCTGCCGCACGTCACAGGCAGCACTCCGGGCCTCAGGGACATTCCCGCCCTCTCCAGCGCTGGCTGCCGCTGGCTTCTGGTGACTCACGCCTCTTCTCGCCTCGCCAGGAGGGCCGGCTGGCCTCGGGGTAGGGGACAGGGCTGAGGTGCAGGGGGACAGGTCCAGCTCGAGGGGCACAGCTGGGAGGGAGCTCAGGCCAAGCGCTGGGCAGGAGACACAGGGCTGGCGCAGGATGAGGGTGCAGGGACTGAACACCCACTGCCCTCTGGGGGACAAGGCCAGGGTTTGGAGCCAGAGCTGCAGGCTGGATTAGCAGAGAAAAAAGCCAGCCTGCTCAGACCTCCTGGGGCTGGAGACGCCTTGGTAGGTGCAGCAGGGCCCCTGGGGAACCTGAACCCTGCCCAACCTTATCCCGAAGCTCAGAGCCGGGTCTCAGGCACTGGGAGGCTCACAGCCCCCCTCCTGATTCAGAGCCTTGGGCTCCACACCCACACATTCAGAGCTAGGACTCCCCACAGCACGCACACGCGCTCACACATGCGCCAGGCTGCAGCCAGGAGGCCACGCGGGCATGGGCCCAGCACCCCTCCCTGCAGGAAGCATCTTGTGGTGCCGGCCTGGTGGGACAGCTGTGCCAGGAGGGCCTGGTGCTGCCAACAGGTTCCTGGGAGCAGGGAGGAGAGGCTGCTGGGGGGAGCCCACCCCCAAGCAAGTCTGAGAAAGTCCCTGCCGAGAAGGTGCAGGTGAGGGGCCAGCAGGTCACCTGGGCCAGACTGACAGCTCTGCACCCACAGGCCAGGCTGAACCAGGGCCTGGGGGACGGTCACCGAGCCCCTGGCACCCCAGCTGCAGAGACCACAGGTCACCAGCCCAGGGAGCCCCTGCTCAGCAGTGGGTGACCCTCCTGGGGCCGGCAGCCTGGGAAGGAGGAACAGGGTCCCGAGGAGGCGACCTCAGGAGCAGGCATGACCCGATGGCACCATCACCCTGCTCAGCACAGCTTCTAGGAGCGGCCAGGATGGCCCCACCTGAGGGAAGTGAGGGGCAGGTGGCGCAGTGGGTGCTGGCTCACCTGCCACGGGGATGCTGCGCAGTGGTGTCCGCGGCAGGATCTCCAGGGACGGCTCCCGGCCAGCCACGCCATCTGCTGAGAGAGGGGGCTCCGTGTCGTGGGTTGTCTGCAGCACCTCCAGGGGCCCCTGTGCCTTGGGCACCAGCAGCATTCCCGGAGGGGCACGGGGCTGCGGGCGCACGGTGGCTGAGGCTCGGGACTCCCTGGTCACCGTGGGCCCCGAGTGGTGGTGGGGTGCCACATGCAGCCGTCGCTCAGGGACAGCTGGGCAGAAGCCTGAGGGCGTAGAGCTGGGGGCCACGGTCAGGGCCCGGGAGCCCTGTGGCTCAGGGACGGGCAGGGAGCGCGGCGGGCAACGGGCGGCGGGTGGCCCTGAGTCCCCTCCCAGCCCGTGACAGCTCTGGGCCGGCTCCCTGCTCTGAGGAGTGAGCCGCCGGCAGCTGGCAAGAGCCTGAAATAGCAGCTGGGGGAGGGCCTGGCTATAAATAGGTGAGGGCTCGGAGCGCGGGCTGCCAGGAGCCGGCTGGCGGAGGCCCCATGGGGCGGCGTTCCACCCAGGAGGAAGCGCCAGCGAGGGAGGGGACCATCAGGGAAGGGCCTGGGGCCAAGGCTGAGAGCCTGGCCGGCTGGTGGAGGTGGAAGCTGGGCTGGGGACGGGCACAGGCTGGGAGCGCGTGTGGCCAGAGCGGCCCGGTCCACTCTCCTACTTGCCACGGGACGCAAAGGAAGCAGAAGGCTGGGGGCAGGGACACAGGCGTCACCACCTGGCCTAAACTTCCTGCAGCCCCTGCTCTTCCTTTTCATAGACCATTCTCGGCGCCCGGGATGGAGCCGCATGCCTGCTGACCAAGGACTCCGGCACAGAGCTACATCCCCAATCCTTTCTAACACTTTTATGTCGAGCCCAGCATGGCGGCACGTGCCTGTGAGCCCAGCACTCAGGAGGCTAAGGCAGGGAGGATCGCTGTGAGTCTGAGGCCAACTGTTTCAAAATTAAAATAAAATCGAATGTCTGAGACAAGGCTGCCCGACTCCCCCAGTGTCTCCTGAACGGCCCTGCAGGGCTTCCCTCCCTGGGTGGCGAGGCCGGCAGCTCCGCCCTGGACCTGAGCTAGTACAGGGCTGAGCCCGGCACACACGGCACCTCACTTTCCTGCTCGACGACCTTGGGAGAGAGATACAGATGGGGAAACCAAGGCACCGTGTGATCACACTCACCTGAGGTCACACAACTGCCTACACAGCAGGGCTGGGAGATGATCTGTGAGTCCACTCCTCCCACAAGGGCCACACAGGGCTCCTGGGGCCGCTGCCGAGAGTGGCGAGGACCAGGGCCCAGCAGGCACAGCCCTGAGCACTGCGCCTGACGCGCCACGGCCCCCTGACCTCCCCATAGCCTTTAATAGCCAGGTTATTCCTGGTCTACATCCCCTCCTGATGTCGCAGTCGCTATTTTGGGGTCCCCGCTAGGCCTCTCCTTGCCCCTACTGCAGGCACAGAACCAGGGACACCTGTCCTCTCCCCTACACTGACCGCAGCTTCCCACCGGGGGCCTGCAGACAGCGGCCAAGTGAGGACAACGGCAGCCGTGACTGCTGGAGCCCAGCTTCCACCAGCCAGGAGTGGAGGTGGGTCCCTCCTCGAAGGCCCACAGGGACAAGACAGGAGGCGGAGGCAGGCCATCTCTGGGCCTAGACCGGGGAGACAGCATGGGGTGATGGACAGAGACGCAAAGGAGCCAGAAGGTGAGGGGCAGCAGCCCATCCTGCTGGGACTCTACCGCCTGCTCTGGGCACAACTGGGAGGCCCGGCCGGGCCCAACCCACTCCCTCCGCCCCAGGCACAGCAGAGCGCCGAGGAGAGCCAGGCTCCTGGGACAGGCGCAGACCCTGAGCCAGAGCACCAGTGGAGGGAAGATGGACAGTAGCAGGCTGGGGGCACCAGAGGCTGGGGGCTGCCGTGGACTGGAAAGCAGAGTCAGACCTGCCACGCCAGGGCCAACTCCCAGAATGCTCTGGGGCAGCAAAAGGGGTGCCATGGGCAGGGGCAGGGGCAGCCTCTTCCTGACCTTGGTCCTTCCCGCTACAGCCCCCCTCTGCCACCCCAAGTGCCACCCTGTGAACACACGGAGCACTCAGGACAGGGACCCTGCACCCCACCTGGGGCCAGCACGGAGGGCGGCCCTCCCCCCCTCCCCCGAGGCTCTGTGAACTCCTCCTCGGCCCAATTCCTGGGCCGGAGAGGGAGAAGGGATGCTGCTCTGGGGCTGCCCCAGGGTGTGGGGACATCGCCCTGCCACCCAGGGCCCCTCTGCTGCCTCCCGTGCCAGCTCTGTGCCGAGGGCCAAAGCAGGAAAGGCAGGAATGCTGAGCAGGGTCTCCCACAGCACCCAGGGCCGCCCCACCTCCTCCACCCTAACCCTTGGTCCCCAGGAAGGTGGGACAGGTCGGGGAGGGGAGCGGACCCGGCTAGACGAGCCCACGTGCGCCAGGGTGGCCACAGGGACACGGAGGCCAGGAGCCCGGCCGGCCCTCGGCGCTGACCCACTTTCCCTCTCAGGCAGCGCCTGCCCTCGCAGGGCACGGAGGGCGAGCTGGGGCTGGCACATGGACGCCGAGGTTCCTGCCCCACCCTGCACCCGCGCCCCAGTTTCTCCGGCACCAGAGGGGAGGGGCTTCTGCCTCCCTCAGGAAAGGGAAGGAGAGAAAAGCCGAGGTGCTGGGTGGTGCCGGGCAGACGAGCGCCTCCTGCCCACACTGGGGACAGGAACCCAGCCGCCTCCTGCAGGGACCCGCACTGCCCAGGCCGGCCGGCTGGCAGAGACGGGGTAAGCAGGGCTCTCCGACCACCAACCCTGAACCCCAGTCGGCCAATAGCTCCCGGGAAGCAGGTGGCCCTGCCGACGCCCAGGGTGGCCGACCAGGAATGGGGCTGGATGCAGCCCCAGCTGAGGGCTCCGTGACCATCCCGCGTGTCCTTGAGCCCTGGCCGGGAGCTCCCTCCCTGACGCAGCCCTGCGTCCCTGCCTGCTCAGTGTGCCGTGCTGAGACACCCCTGCCTGCCAGCCGGCTCTGCAGCCCAGGGCATGGTCCCCACCCTGAGACTGTGGGCAGGAACCGCTCAGCACCCTCCGTGTGTGCAAGGGCTCTATGGTCGAACCCCGGCCTGAGCCTGGCCTCCGCTCAGTCACTGGGCACCAGACTCCCAGGAGTTCAGGGAAACGCACTACGTGGTGAAGTGTGGCCTAAAACCCAGGCAAATGGCTCACACAAAGTACCCCTCCTGTCCTCCGTCAGAGGGTCCAGGCTGAGACCCCAGCCCAGTCAAAGCAGAAAGGCCAGATTCTCAGCCCAGAGGAGCAGCAGGCAGCAGCCCCAGGCATACCTGACCTGCAGGCCAGCACCCAGCAGAGATGACCAAGGGCCGAGGGGCACCCCAGGCCCCCTGCCCCTGCCAAGCGGGCAGGAGGGAACAGCAGCCGGCATGGAAGACCACCCACCAGCCCCCAGGGGAGCACAGGGGTGCGGGGATGAAGGGGCATCAGAGTGGGCTTCCCTCCTGAGCCGTTTCCCAACCTTTAAAAGAAGGAAACCAGCGTGTACCCTACAGAGGGACTCAGGGTGCAGCGGCCCTGTAGGCTAAGGCTCAGCAAGGTGGACGCCAAGCTCTCCAGCCTGCACAGGAGCCGGCACTGGCCCTCGGCCCCCGGGAACCCCAGGGTCCAGCTCCAGCCACTCAGACACAACCACAGCTGCCCCACGTATGGTGGTCTCTGTCCCAGCCAGGGACTTCTGTGGCAGCGCTAGGCAGAGTCCTAAGGCCAGAGGGGAACGGGAAATCTCCAAGACCCCAAACCTGGACTCTCCCGTGTCCACAAATGGGGGCGGGGGGTCACCTGGGCTCAGCGTAGCGCCAAGACCCTCTCAAACTCCACCCCACTCCCAGCCCAATGCCACACACCCAGGCACAGGCATCACCCCCGGCAGCCCAGGCCACTCCGGGTCCCGAGGGCCCCACATTGACAGCGGGCGCAGGCATGTGGCTGGCCTTTGCTTTTCCTTACAGTGCCTCTCCACTCCTGACCCCTCATTTGTTCTGAGAGCTCGGATGCAGCCGTTGGCGGCCAGGCCAGAAGTCACACAGCCCAGCCCACCCAGTGCAGCTCTTACCCGACTCGGTGGGAGAGTTCATGCCGGCTCTGGACCCACAAGACGCCGGTGCGGGGGCTGGGACAGGAGGGGGTGAAGCTGCGGTGGTGCTGAGAGAGACAGACGCCGACAGACGGACGGGACAGGCGTCCAGGAACGCCGTGCCTCTACTGCCCATCCAAGGCCATCCTCCAGGGCACGGTGATCAGACACTCACAGCAGCACCCCTGGGGAGAGATGTGGGTTAGAGCGGACGCAGCGTGTCCGGATGCGAGGGGGCCACCTGCCGGAGCACCGAGGGGCATGTGCAGCGGGTGGCCCTGCTCTGCCCTCTCCCTAGTTGGCGAGGCCCTTGGTACCCAACGGGCAGGAAAAGGCCAAGACCTCAGTGACTGCAGCCAGCCAGGGAAGCCTCACAGATGCCCGAGGTGCTGGGAACACGGCCCCAGGCCAAGCAGAGGCCCAGGGGCTGCTGGCCCTGCCCCTGGAGCTGAAGTTGGGACAGAGCACAGCTTCCTCCCGTGCACCTGACAGGGCACACGTGCTTCTGTCCTCGTCCTGCTCAGCATGGCCAGAGCCCGATCATGAGTCCTCAGATCCACGCCTGGCCTAGGGCTCCAGGGCCCAAGCCCGAGGCCTCTGTGTATCACACAGTTTGTGCCCTTCGAGACAAGGAATGAAACGCCCCTGCTCTGCCTGCCCAGCCTGGGCTGACACCAGAAAGAGGCATGTCTCCCGCATGCCCTGAGACACTCAACGGCCCAGTAGCCACGGAGGACTAAGGCACTGCCAGGCCAACCCTGCCCTGGCTACACCTCAGCCTCAGACACTGGGCTGCAACCACCTGGGCCACCCAGACGTGATCTCACCTGGCCCACACCTGAGGTCACCCCCAAACCCCAAGCATAGGATGGGGGGCGATCCAGGAGGCTGAGCCCACCACAGCCCAACTTCTACAGGATAGGTCCCCAGCACGCCGTTCCAGGAGGCCTGCATGGAGCCCAGGAGGCAGGATGCCCACCACGGAAGACCGGGGTGCCTGTCCCCTGCTCCCCCACAGGCCTGGACATGCACCTGCAGAGGCAGGGTCTGGGGTAAGGACCAGGTGAGGTCAGGGACAGAGGCTGCCAGGACTGGGGCCACCCACATTCAGGAATGCGGCAGGTGGGGCCAGGAGCCCTGGCAGTGCCTGAGTGGGCAGGAGCTCAGCCAGGGCCCACACCAGCCCGGCACCTGGACCGGCTCACACCCTTTCCCGTGGGCTGCGGAGCCCAGGTTCAGAAGTTCCCACAGCTGCCCACGGAAGGTGAAAGGGCCTGGCCCATCTCCGAAGGAGGTGAATCCACCAAGGGCAGAAGCGCAGGCTTGGCCTCAGCCCACCATCCTCAGCCACCCAACAAGGGAGGAGCAGAGTAATGCACTGGCCTGGGCCCGGGCAACCTCCTACAGGGAGTGTCGGCCACTGAGCGGGGCCACTGACTGGCCAGGGCTCCCGGACGCAAAGCCACACACAGCCTGTCCCTGGTGGGAAGGACCAGGAGGGCGCAGACTCCAGTCTGGGGTGTAACAGGAGGCGAAGAGACCTGGGTGGCCCATGCCTGCCTCCACAGAGTACGCATTACGTGACACATTGGGTCTCAGTGGGCAGTGGGGCGGGAGTGTGTGGCTCCCAGGGGACCCACCACGGGCCGCCAAGCCAGGGAGCAACACGGAGGGGGCTCCGAGGCCCTAAGCAGCAGACCCCGGGCCCACACCAGGTCTGTTTCCTCAGCCTGCTGGCCAGCCTGTTCTTACCCCACTGGGTCCCGGACCCAGACCCACCTCCCACCAGGAAGGTGGGACCAGGAGGGCCATGGGAACCTGGCTGCATCTCGCCCTGCAGCTCTCATGAACGGGGTGGAGACGCCCCACCCATTCACGAGCAAAGAGAGCCTGGCATGCTGGGAAGGAGCACTGCAACACACGGGCCGGCCTTTGCCAGCGACCCCGCAGGAGCCTGGTCCCTCAAACGGCTTGCTGGGACTTCCGGGCCCAGCTTCCCTGGAGGCCAGTCAAGCCTGGGCCTGGCCAACCAGCCATTCCCAGCACCCAGTTCTGCCCTAGGGGCAGCGAACACCGGTGCCCAGGCCAGCACCGTGGCCACGCAGGCTGGATGGGGAACGCAGTGCCTAGACAGCCCCCAGGGCCCTGAGGCTTCTCGCCCAGGCCCCTCCAGGCCAGGCCACGGCCGACCACTTCACTAGCCGGGGCTGCCCCCAAGTGAGCCACACGAGAGCCCCCAGAGCCTCAGAGCCACCCAGGCCCCGAACAGGGAAAGGGGGAGGGCCACAAGCGAGAAAAAAGGCACCAGGCTGACAAATTCATTCCCGCAATCAGCCCATTTCTGTTTGTCTGCTCAGACGCAGCTCCAGGCATCTGCACGAGCCAGATGGAGGAGGCTGCTATTTCGAGAAGGGGGGAGGGCAGAAGACAGGTCTGTGTACCCTGGAACCCCAGGCCGCCGAAGCCCCCTCCCCAGCACTGCCAGACAGGCTTCCCATTCAAGACTAGGGGCCTGATGGGGGGGGGGGGAACGGGACCGGAGAAGAAAGGCAGAGAACGTTTAATCAGCCCGACTGGGCTACAACAGGCCCCGTGCGGGCTGCAGCAGGTTTTCATTCATGAGCCACAGTTCGGGGATGCCAGGAACCACCATCCCCCCCGCCCTCCCCTCCCACCGGAGCTCGTCCCTGCAGGCTGGCGGGTGCGGGGTGGTGTTCCAGACAGCCCTCCTCCCGAGATGCGAGTAGGAAGAATTAATTATTAAAGAGCAGCTGGTACTGAGCACTGCCCCTAGCTCCCAGGCCGGCCCCTCCCCCGCCACGCAGAAACACAAGTGACCCGGCTGGCCCGTTCCTCCCGCACAAGCAAGACGCGCCCGCACCGGGAGAAGGGGGCCGAGCTGTGTCTGCAGCTCCTGGGGTGGGTAGGGCACGTGACACGGTTCCCCTCCAGTTCTAGGATCCAGCCGAAGTAGGGGCGCACTGGTACAGGGGAGGCTGCCTGGAGGGACGTCTCCCACCACTCCCCAGGTGCGTGCTCCTGAGACCCGGCTCTCCCTGGTCCCGGCCTGTGTGCGAACCCCGGAAGGGGGCACCTGGGCCCTCTCTAAGTCCTAGAGCCCCACCCGCCTAAGAGTTGGCCCGCCGAGGGAAGAGGGCAAACGGGGCTCGGGGAGGCACACGGGGTCGCCAGGCTCCGCGCTTAAGGGAAGAGAGAAAAGAACCGAGACGCCTGCGGCCGGCGCGGCCGGCGCGGCCGGCGCGGCCGGCGCGGCCGCCCTGGCCCCAGGCCCGCATTTCAGCAGCCACACGGCTCAGGTCCCGGTACCCGGCCGTGGGAGACTCCCTCCCGTCTACACCCTGAGGCCCTGAAAGACCACGGGACAAGCCGCGCCCCAGGACGGATCTCGCGGGCAGCGCGGCCGGGGTCCCCGCGGCCCGGGCTCCTGGCCGCCACCGGTCTCCTTTTGTTCCCGTGACCTGCACCCCCGCCCTCCCGGGGACCCACCGGCCCCCACGGCCGCCCCGCAGCCAGCTCCAGAGCAAGTCCCAGGCCCCTCACAACCCCCAGCGCCGCAGCTGCAGGCGCCGCCGACTCCGGGGCACCGGCTCCTGGGGGCGGAGGCCGGAGGGCGCGGGTCCCCACCCGGCAGCGCCCGCCTCCTGCGCTCCGGCTGGGTCCGCGCTGCCCCACACCAGGCCCAGGCAGGCAGGAGGGGCCGCGGACCCCAGCGAGCGGCGGCGGGCGGCTTGGGGCGCGGGAGGCGGGCGCGCGGCTCCACCCAGGCCGGGCCTGCTCGGCGGGGCCACGGAGGACGGAGACGGGGCGCGGGCGGGGCCTGCGCAGCCGCCCGGTCAGGGGTCAGGGGGCTCCGGGCCGCTCACCCCCGGCGGCTGGCGCTCCGGGCGCGCGGGCGGCCGCGGCAGCAGTGGCGGCGACAGCGGCGACGGCGACCCCTCGACAGCTCCTCCATCTTCGCGGCGCTCAGGCTGCGCTCGCCGCCGCCACCAACAACAACATTCGGCGACGTCACTGCGTCACGTGACCGCGCCGCGCTAAAAATAGCGCCCCCGCGCCCCGCCCCGCCCGCCTTTTAAAGGGCCCGAGCGGCCGGGACGGGACGGGACCCCGCGGGCCTCAACGTCCCGCAGCGGGACACCGACAGGAGCGCATCCCGAAGACACAAATGCGCTGTGCTCCAGAACCACAGGGGAGATTGCGGGTAGTGTCACCAAACGTTTTCAACAACCCACTCCCTTTGGGGGGGGGGCTGGACGTGGGACCCACCCTGACACTGAAGGGACTCAGTTCCAGTCTTGTTTTGTTTTTGGTACCGGGGATCGAACTTGGGTCCTTGATCTTGCGACTCAGTTCCAGTCTGCAGAGCAGCTTAGTGCGCTTGAGGCCTGGGGCTCGACACCCAGGGTTAAAAAAAAATTATGCGGATTTACCTAGAAGGTGCGGGTGATCTGTTATACATCAACAGTCCGAAATGCAGCTAAGCCGGTATGGTGGTGCTTGCCCGTCATCCTAGCACTGGGGAGGCTGAAGCAAGAGTTCTAGGCTAGCCTTGACTACATGGCAAGACCCTGTCTTTAAAAAAAAAAAAAAACAAAGAAGAGCTGGGGATTTAGCTCAGTGTTTCCACCGCCTGCCTTGAAGGCGCAGGGTCCTGAGTTCAATCCCCAGTACCAAAAAAAAAAAAAAAAAGAATCCAGCTAGGGCCCAGCACGATGGCACTGGGGGTAATCCCACCATGGGAAGCTGAGGCAGAACCACCTCGAATTTGAAGCCAGTCAGGACTACAAAGCAAGACCCTATCTCAAAAAACAGAAGGAGCTAGGCATGGTGCCACACACCTGTAATCCCAGCATGCAGGAGGCTGAGGCAGGAGGATCACTGAGAGTTCAAGGCCAGCCTGGGGAACGTAGTGAGTTCAGGGCCAGCCTGAACTACAAAGGGAGACCCTGCCTCAAAAAACCAAAAAAAAAAAGGAAAGAAAAGAAGCCAGGCATGTTGGTGCAGGCCTGTGATCCCAGGACTCTGGGAGGCTGAGGCGGGAAGATGGCAAATTAGAGCCCAGCCTGGACAACCTCAGGACTGGGCAAAACAGACTGTGTCTCAAAAAAGGGCTGGTGGCCGGAGATTTAGCTCAGTGATTCTGCCACCTGCCTCACAACTGAAAGGACCCAAGTTCGATCCCTGGTACCAAAAAGAAAAAAAACAAAAAAGGGCTGGCGATGTGGCTCAGTGCAAAGGCCCTGAGTTCAATCCCCAGCACCAAAAAGAAAGAGAAAGGGAAGAGAAATCCAACAAGTATTATTGAATCGGGCCAATATTGTAAACAACACATTAGATTCATATCCTGGGTCTGCATATATATGCATATAAAAAGCCCTGAAAAGGGCCAGGGATGTAGCTCAGTGGTTCCGCCACCTGCCTTGCAAGCGGAAGGATCCAAGTTCGATCACCCCCGGTAAAAAAAAAAAAAAAAAAGCCCTGAAAAATAAATGCCAATATGTTTTTCTTTATTTTCTTGGGCTTTTTGTACGTTGTCTGAAGTTTTTTGTTTGTTTGTTTGTTTTTTGGTACTGGGATCAAACTCGGGTCCTTGCGCTTGCAAGGCAGGCGGTGAAACCACTGAGGTAAATCCCCGGCCCTGTCTGAAGTTTTTTGTTTGTTTATTTGTTTGGGGGGTTTGGGGGGGTTTTGAGACAAGGTCTCACTATGTAGTCCAGGCTGAACTCAAACTTGCAGTGATCCTCCTTCCTCAGCCTCCAAGTACTACTATTACAGTCGTGCGCCAACCTGCCCAGGTTCCATTTTTGTTTTTTCCAACAGGGTCTCGCTATGCAGCCCAGGCTGGCCTGGAACTTACAGCAGTTCTCCTGCCTCGGCCTCCTGTTTGCTGAGATGACCACAGCCTGCATACCACCCTGATTTCTGGGCCCAGCCCAGAGCTTCTCTTGCAGTGAGGTGGAGCCCAGCAGTCCTAGCCCCTCTTCCACACCTGGCCCTCTCCTGGAACATGGGAAAAAGCAGCCAAGAGTTTCTCGGTGGCCTGGCCTGGCCTCTCAGCCCTGCTCTCTGGGCTCTGCCCGCGGCTCACTCCCCCTGGAGCAGTGTGCAGCTGGTCTGCAGGGCCCTCACAGACTGGGTTTGGTTTTTTGTTCTCTCCTTTGCTGGTCAGCGCCTGTCAAGCCCCGATTCCTTCAAGGGGCCTGGCTCTGCCGGCCCTCCCCAGGACCCCGCCCAGCCCTCATCAAGAGGCCTGGGAACAGCTTCCTGCATCTTCCCTGAACTATAAGCCTTTTTTTTTCAGTACTGCGATCAAACCCAGAGCCTCACTCCTACCAAACAATGACTGGACCCCCAAGCTACATTCTCAGCCGCTCTGAGCTGCTTCTTTTTCTCTTTTTCTGGGGGGGGGGGGTACTAGGGATTGAATCCAGGGCCTTCACACTGAGCTACAGTCCCATCAATTTTTTTTATTTTGAAACAGCCTACTAAGTTCCCCAGGCTGGGCTGGAACTTGAGATCCTCCTGCCTCAGCCTCTCAGAGTGCTGGGCTGACAGACAGCCTAGCATGGTGCCTGGAGCAAGAGACACGCTGAGTGAGAATGAAGGAATGTTAAAGGCTATACCAGGCCAAGGAAGTTATAATTCAGCAATGGTCTCAAGTACAAATAAAAAGGGTTGGGTGCGCAGCTCTGTGGTAGGGCAAGTCCCTAGGATGTGTGGGCCTGGGTTCAGTCTCAGTACTAGGGGCTTACACACCATCCAGCATTCACTCTACTACAGGCACAGGGCCGTGAAGGTGCCTCAGCCGAGCCAGCCTCAGGTTCGCAGGGAAGGGCACCCTGCCTTTCCCATGAGGCCCTGGGGAGGCAGAGACCCTCACTAGGACCATTCACCATGGAAACAGGTTGTGAGCCCCGTCCTTAACCACTGCCTCAGTTTCCCTGTGGCCGGGAGCTCCTGGCCTGGGAGCCAGTGTCGGACGTGGCTGCCGTAGAAGGCAGTGAGCACGGGGAGAGCCGGGCCTGAGCCCATACCTGGCAGGTAGCACCACAGCCGGACCTGGAGAGGAGCAGAAGTGGCAGCCGCGAAGTGGCCCAGGACAGAGCAGTCCCCTCCCCTCGGCCCACAGCCACACTGCGCCCTCCCTGCTGCCACCCAGATTTCCCGGGTGCAGTCTTCCAGTGGGGCGCTGGCCACAGCTCCGGCCTCCTGGTCCCCAGAGCAGCTGCGGTGGGAGAGCCCAGGCTGCCCCAGGTGTGGGCAGAGATGACCCAGGGGCAGGAGCTGCTGTGCCCCAAGCCTGAGGCCTGCCGGTGCCCACAGCGCCACTGCCCAAGCAGAGTGGCCGCTCCTGCAGGCCCTGGGCAGCGGTGTGGAGCCCGCCCTCCTGGGCCTCGTTCTCGCTCTTCTTTCTTTTCCCTGGTTTGTCTCTGGTGACAGCTGTGGGACATACGCGTGGCCCTGGCCCTGTATCTGTGTGATGAAGCCCGGGCGACAGGCGGCTCTGGGCAGCCCAGGTGTCTGGCTGAGGTGCGGAAGGAGGTGGCAGTGTCCTCCTGCCCCTCTCCTCCCACCCCACAGCCACTCCCCAGCCTCCGTGTCCTCGCCTGTCAAAGGGCAGGGGGCCTGGATGACTGTGAAGGTCTCTTCCAGCTCCACCCCATCTGGAAAAGCACGCAGCCAGCCAGCAGCACACCGAGGGCCTGCTGGAGGGGAACCAGCCTGGCCCTGAGGCCCGTGTCCCTCCCCAGGGCTCCTGCACCATCTCTGTGCAACCTGGGGAGAAAGCATTATGGCTGCTAAGACAAGCTAATCTTTATTTTTCTTTAAAAATAAAGATTAATCTCCGCTGGGCGTAGTGGTGCACACCTGTGGTCCCGGTACCTGGGAGGCTGAGGCAGGAGGGTCACTGGGTATTTGAGGCCAGCCTGGGCTACACAGCAAGACCTGGTCTCAACAAAAAAATTATTCTTGGGCTGAGGATGTAGCTCAGTGGCACCGCACCTGCCTGACAAGTGCAAGGTCCTGAGTTCCATCCCTGGTAGCAAAAAAAAATTATTCTTGGTGCAGCTGCCACCGTTTGTCTTGGCACCCAATGGATACATTAAAGACTAAGATGGGCAGACAGCAGTTGGCCCAGAGCCTCCAGCAGCTGCGCCCTACCTGCTAAAGCACGGCAGGAGACAGGGGTCCGGGACAGAGCTGGCAGCCAGGGACACGGCTGGAGTGGCTGCTGTGGAGACTCCCACCGTCCAGCGTGGGAGGGGCTGGCCGAGGGGGACACGGTGGACACCCCAGGGTGCAGATCCTCCCAGAGCTGTCTGCCCTCAGGGAGCCTGGCCATGACCCAGGGACAGAGCTGGCCTCTAGCTGCAGGGACCCAGCCTTTCCCCATGCCCTTCACCTTCTCCAAGCCCCAGCCCCTTCCCCCTTTTCTGAGGCACTGGGGAGTGAACCCAGGGCCTCCACATGGAGCTCCACCCCAGCGGTTTTTACTTTTTATTTTGAGGTAGTGTCTGGCTCGTTTTAGATCTTCCTGCCTCAGCCTCCCAGAGCACTGAGATGACAGGCGTGGACCCCACACCCGGCTCATCCTGTTTCTTTATTCCACCCCCTACTCATGGGTGTTGGGGTTGTTTCCAGATTTTCGGTGTTGTTTGTTTCTTGGTGCTCGGCTGAAACCCTGCGCGCTAGGTGCACACCGACGCCCGCGACGCCCTGACCGGCTCACGTGTGGCCTGGAGCTGAGGACCCGGCCTGGCCCTGCACGCTCTCACCCCGGAGCTGCATCCCCGCTCCTAAGGCTTGTGCAGTCTTCTGCCACCGGAGGGACCCGGCGGACTCAGGGGCGGAGGCGAGCGGAGAAGCTGCCACGGCCCAGGTGGGGCTTCCCTGACCCCTCCTGCTTCAGTCAGTGCCGCCACGGCTGCCCCGCCCCGCCCCGCCCGCATCCCCTCACTCGACCCGGGGGCGTCACGGGCGCGGCCGCCAGCCTTCCGGGGAGCCCGAGCTCCAGATGACTCAGCCGCCCGCCCGGCCAGCGCCAGGGGAGGGGACGGGGCCAGTAGGAGGCCTGCGACCGCCCAGCTGATCGCGTCAGCGCCTCCGAGCCTCCGCCCGCCCTCCGAGCCTCTTGAATGATTCACCTCGCCGCCCCTCGTCACCGCCGGGCTTCAGGGCTCCTCGGGACGGGGGCGGGGCGGCCAGGCGCGCGGCCCACACCGCGCACACCGCGCACTGCACACTCAGCGCAGAGCTCAGCTCGGACCACGCGCCGCACGCGCGCCGCAAGATGCTCGCGGGACCAGGACCTGTCCACACCGCCCGCACCTGTGCCCCAGCCCTTTCGGAGGCCTCGGTCGTTCCCATAGCTGACAGCGTGGCGGCGGTGCCCGGAGGGGGGCTGCCATCGCCCCAGGGCTCTGTGGTTGGGGTCCACACGCAGCCGGAAACCGGCTGGCCCCACACACGGCTGGGTGTGGCCAATCCACACGCCACGGCCACTGCCACCATGGCACACGCATGGGCACCTGCGCCAATCACGTGACTGACCCGCACAAGGAAGGGCGACACGCGTGTGCCCATCTGCAACGCGGCGACAGCCTCACCCAAGCCCCACGCGTGTCTGCACACTTGGCCACATTGGTGCCGGCGTGGTCAGCTCAGCAGCTCTGCTTTCATCAGTGGCTCTCACTGCAGCCCTGCGAGGAAGACGTGGACTCTGCTCCTGGAGGAAGCAACTCCTGCACCTCACTCCCTCGGCCCTGGGGGGAGACTCCCCGCAGGCCCTGAGCCTGAGTCGTTCAGACTCACCTGCGCCCCTGCCTGGCAAAGGCATTAAGTCATTCAACAAACATTAGCTCAGTGTCTTCAACCAGAGGCTGGCTTCCTAAGGAGAGAAGCCACAGTCTTACTGGAAGGAGTGTGATATCCCCAGGGAGGTGCGAGGGGACCCAGAGACCACGAGGGGCCCATGGCAAACCAAGCAGCAAGGAAGGGCCCCAAGGCTGGGAGCTCAGGAGGGAGACCAGGTTGCAGAGCAGTCAGGGAGGGCTTCCTGGGGGAGGCACTGAGGGAGCAGGGCCTTGAGGAAGGGGTAGATGGAGAGGCAGTGGTGCCAGAAGGAGTTGCACGGGAGACAGGACACCACAGGGAGGTGTCTGCCAGCCCACTGGGCTCAGGAGTCAGCAGAAGGAGAGTCGCTGTGGGGCGCTGCACATGCTGGGAAGGAGAACCGGATGGGGCCATGAAGGTGGGGCTGCAGTAGTTCACACAGGAGCCTGTGAGGTCTGGATAGTGGTCTGGAGAAGGTGGGGGACGTGAAGAGGACACCTGCTTCTCCAGCAAAGCCATAAAGGTGGAGGGTGGGGGTTTTTCCCTCAGAACCGAACATACTGCCAGGACTTGGTCCCCATGTCTCAGGGCACGCAGCTCCCTGGAGTCCTGAGAATCGACCCAGCCTCACACTAGGCCTTCGGACTGCTGAGATCTGATGGCCCCCGGCTCAGGCCCGGCCCAGCCCCCTCCTCACCTCGAGGGCTTGGGGAGTGCCAGGTGCTGGGAAGGCCGGGAGTGGTGACACTGGACCTGCAGTGGCCACTCTGGCTGGGGCCCAGGCCCCCGCTCTGCCCAGGAGGGTGGAGCAAGGAGAAGACCCCGGAAGTGGGGGCCCCCAGCTCCCCCCTCACAGACAGCCTCCCCGTGGCAACCTGCTGGGTGCAGCCCAGTGGGGAGCCCTGCCTGGTGTGTGCAAGGCCCTGGGTACTGACGCCAGCACTGCACTAGAAAAGAAAAGAAAAGCTAAGCTGTACGCACCAGCAAGCCTGTAAGCCCCGCACTCGGGAGGCTGAGGCAGGGGGATCACCCATACCTACCCTGGGCACATAGTGAGTTCAAGGCCATCCTGGACTACACAGCACGCCTCGTCTCAAAAAAGAGTAAGAGAAGTGGTGAGGAGACAGGGTGCTGCGGGGCGCTCGGGTGGGGATGCCCTGGAGGTTGGGACCTCCCAGTCACCGGGAGAACTTGCTTGTGGGACGAGCATGAGCTGCAGGATCAGCGGGCAGAGAGGGGTCCTGGGAAGAGGGGGCTCCGGCCCCAGGGCGTCTGGGGACCTCGCACCAGCAGGGCGGCTGGGGTTTGTTGGGCTGCACCCGAGCGGCCGGTGGAGGGCGACCGAGAGGACACGCGCCTTCCCTTTAAGCCGGGCCGGAAGTCGGCGGGTGAGAAACCGGCACTCTCCTTTAAGGGGGTGGAGCCTCCGCCGGCGGCGACTTCGAATCGACGCGGGCGAGGGTGCCGTGCAGGCCTCGGGTCTCCATGGTAACGCGCGCCCCGCGGGTTGAGGGGGTGACTGGCGGTGGGGCCGCGACGGGAGCTGGGAGCCCCCGTCTCGCCCGCCGGCCTCAGTTTCCCCGCCGGCCCTGGCTCGGTCCCGGGAACGGCTCCGGGCGGCCTGGACGGGACGACGTCCCCGGGTTTGGGGTGCGGGAGGCCGAGGCAAGAGGGTCGCAGCGAGCTCCAGGCCAGCCTGGGCTAGGCAGCCAGACCCTGACTCAAAAAAACCAAAACAAGGAAAAGGAAACGCACACCTTTAAGATGAAGAGTGTTAAAAGAGAAAAACGTTAGTGAAAGTAGCAAAGACAGCAGAAAACACCCCCAAAAGGAGTGACCTGGACTATGGAAAGATGCGTGTCCGTGTGGGAGGTTTTATGCCTGAAAGGTCAAATTCTGTAGTAATAACAGGGTCTCGCTATGTAGCTCAGGCTGGCCTTGAACTCACTATGTGCCCCAGGCTATGTATGGGCGATCCTCCTGCCTCAGCCTCTCCAGTGCTGGGATTGCAGGTGGTTGTCACCACGCCCAGCCGCTTTTTCTTTTTCTTTTATCTTTCTGGATCTCGTGTTGCCTTTAAAATGGTGCTTAAGGCCAGGGCTTTAGCTCAGTGGTTCTGCCGCCTGCCTGGAAAATACAAGGTCCCAAGTTCAATCCTTGGTACCACACACACAAAAGTCAAATAAAAAATGGTGCTTTGGGCCAGGGGATTTAGCTCAGTGGTTCTGGCACCTGCCTAGCAGGCGCAAGTTCCCGAGTTCAATCCCCGGTACCAAAAATAAATAAATAAATAAAAATAAAAAAATAATAAAATAAAATAAAATGGTGCTTCAATTAAAAACCTGGATTCAGATCTAGAAGACTTTTCAGTCATTTTGGTCTTTAACCCCATCCTGCCTCCCCCAGCACCAGCACCGCCCAGAACCTGCTCACTCCGGGCTGGCCAGAGGGCCTGGCGCCCCAGGTGGTCCCAATTCCCCAGCCTCAGCCGCTGCTCCCTCCCAGGCACTCGGCCCGTGGACACTGTTCTCCGTGGATGAGGAGTTCGAGGATGAGGTAAGGGGCTGGGTCCATGGGCTCTGGGATCCGCCTGCCTGGTCTGGGCCAGCTGGTGTAGACCCTTCTCATCCCTGAGTGCTGAGAAACGCAGCAGTACAACCTGCTCAACTGTGCCAGTCCTGAGAGGGGAGTCGCCCGTCACACATTCGGTCTGGAGGACCCTTCCTGGGTCTGGGTCAGACAGGTGATGAGTTTGCTGTCCTCAGAGACCAGGACAGCAGGGGACTGAACACCCGGGTGGCCTGTGGTGTCTCTTCCGCATGAGGAGGGTTACTCTCCCTTCTTCCTGTCCCTCCTCTGAGGATGAGGGTCCGGGCCAGATCTGAAGCCAGGTTACAGTGGCCTCGTCCAGGCCCTGGCACCTGCCAGTTTCGCCAGATTTTCTGGAGCTGGGCATGGCAGTGATGGTGCTCACCTGTTGTTACAGCGCCCTCCTGAGGCAGGAGGGTCAGCATGAGGTCAAGGCCGGCCTGGGCTGCTTAGTGAGGCTTTGCCTCAAAAAAGAAAAAAACCTAAAGAGAGCTTTTCTGATGGAAGCTGCAGGAGACTCCAGTTCAGAGGGGGGTGAGAGCCCCCGCTTGACCTGGGTGCCAGCCCCTTGCCTGCCCGCCTGATGGTAGAGGCTGGGCATCTCTTTCAGTTTCTGGACCTGAAGGCACCTACCTGACTCTCTTAGGATTTCTTGTCTGCCCTGGAGGATGCGGAGAGCCGGCTTGCTGGGGTGCCACCCAGGACGGCAGGGCACCTGTGCCCCACGTCTTCCTGCCCGATGGAGGCCTCGAGGTCACCGAGCCCAAGCCCCCTGGCCCTGCGCCCACCTGCCCCGGGACTCTGCCCCCCCACCCCCTGCACGCCAGGTGCTGTCGAGGACCCCTGCTCCTCCAGAACGGCTCCCCTGAGGCCGCTCCTGACTTCCAGCAGCTGGCTGGGCGGACAGAGGCCAGTGTGGGCCAGGGCAGCCCTGGAGGGCCCGGAGCAGGACAAGGTGGGCCAGGACCTGGCTGGCCTGGAGCTGGAGCTGGGGGCTGGCACCAAGGACCCCATGCCGGCTAAGAGGGCCCGGATCACAGGCCCGAGTGGGTTGAGCTCCAACCCCATGAGTGCCCGCCCCGGCCAGGGGACCCCAGAGCCTGCTGGGTCCCCCAGGGCCACCCTGCCGGGGCACACACCCCAGCTGCGCCTCCCCACAGGGGCCCCTGCCCACTGTGGCCCCTGGAGCCCTGCACCCAGGCAGCCCCTTCTGCCGCCCCGCACCTGGGCAGGCGGCAGACCCCACACTCCCAGACCCCAAGCCCTGGGAGCCCACAGCCCGGCTGTCCTTCTGGGGGTGGCCCCACCATCCCGGGCCCCTGCTCCCCCCGCAGTATCACCCATCGGCACCCTGAGGGGCCCCCGGGCCCCACTGCAGACGCCCATAGTCACCAACCACCTGGTGCAGCTGGTCACCGCCGCCACCCCGACCCGGGTCCGGGCCTGTAGGCGCCGCTTCCCTGGCCCCGCCGGGCTTCTGCCGCAGCAGGTAAGTGCTGCTCCCTCACCTGCTGTCTTCTGGGGCCCTGGTGGGCAGGTGCCAGAGCTGGCGGGAAGCACACACTTCCAGAGCCTCTGGGCCTTGCCTCATAGGCACATGGCCTTGGGCTCCACCCCAGCACTTGGGAGGGAGGGAGGATGCTTAGGAAATGTGGGCAGGAAGCGAGTGTGAAACCCCTGGCGTCCATGTGTCGTGGACTCCTCACTCTCAAGGCTGCAGGGTGGACAGGGCCCCGGCTCAGAGCCAGAACACAGTCAGGACGGAGAGGCAGGTGCAGGACAGGCTGGCAGCGCAGGGCAGGAGCAGGGGTGAGCCAGGGTTGGGCCCAGAGGGTACTGCGTGAGCGAGGCGGGCCAGGGCACTCTGCCTGGGATCCGGTGGTGAGTAGGAGGTGGATGGGGTGAGCGGAGGAGTCTCCCGGGGAGGACAGAGAGGACAGCATGGTGGGCTCAGGACCTGGCAGAGGAGGCTGGGCCAAGGCGTGGTGGGCCTTCCATCTCGGCCTCTCTTTCTTTATTTTTTGCACTACTGGGGACCTTTGCACTGAGCTACATCCCCAGCCCTTTTTGTATTTTTTATTTTGAGACAGCCTTGCTAAATTACTCAGTTCCCCAGATGGGATCGGAATCTGTGGTCCTCCTGCCTCAGCCTCCTGGGGCTGGGATCACGTCCACCACTGTGCCCGGCTTCATCCCCTGCCTGAAAGGCACCATGGTCGATCTCCCATCTTCCGTGCTGCTGCCCCTTCCCAGCCTCTGTCCGGGTTCTGCTCTGCTGGCCCAGCGCCTGCACGTCCCCTGTGTCCCTCAAGCGCCTCCGCCGCGCCTCGGAGCTGCAGCCGCGTCGCGCCTGGTCCCCATCGCCTCCTGAGCGCCCCCTCTGCCCGCAGCAGGGCGAGAACCCAGAGGAGATCGTGGTTTCCACGCTGCAGACCCCGGCCCACGGCGCCTTGGCCAAGCTCCGCCCCGAGGTGATTGGGCGATGGCATCCCCGGGACCAGCACACACTGCTGGGCCCGTGCCACAGGGGCCGGGCGGGCAGCTGGGGGCAGCATCTTGGATGCCAGTCCCTGAACTGGGCCCAGGCCTGGCTGCTGCTCCAGGTGGAAATCACATCAGGCCAGGCGCGGTGGTGGCGCACGCCTGTTATTCCAGGGCTTAGGAGGCTGAGGCAGGAGGACTGGGGTACAAGGCCAGGCACTGTCTCAAAACCACGAACCAAGAAGTGAGGTCATACCTGTGACCCTCCACTCGGGATTCTGCCCTCTACCTTTGGTGGCCCTTAACTAGCCCCAGTTTCTCTCCCCTCCCATGTCCTGTCCATTTCAGAGCCCTCGGGTCCAAAGCGTTCTTGATTGGGGCTGGTGGCAAAGGCAGACCATGGTCGGGAGCCACCGTGGGCAGTGGGGACTCACGCGGGCCGGGGCGCTGTCCCCAGGGGCGGGTGTGGCTCCGCCCCAGCACCCGAGGAAGGGGCTGTGTGAGGACAGACCCAGGTCGGCCTCTGCCCTCCACCCAGCCGGTCACACTGCCCTTCTGCTTGGGCCCAGTCCCTGGTCACCAGCTCCCAGGCGTCCGCAGAGGAGGAGTTGGGCCAAGGAGCCTGGCTGGCCATGAAGGAGGCACTGCGGCTGGACGACGGGGACCCCGCCTGCTTCCTGCACACCTGCAGCGTGGCCACGGTGCTCCGGAAGGTGCGGTCTGGCACCCCGCGTCCCAGGCCCTGGCCCACTGGTCCGCGAGGGCTGCGTGTGCCCCCTCGGGTGCCCGGGCCCACCCTGTTGCGGAGGGGGCAGCGGCGGCCGTGCGGTGGCAGAGCTGTCCTCTACTCAGGCCGCCCTGAAGCAGCTCCCCGGGAACAAGGTCCCCACCATGGCCGTGATGATCAAGTCCCTGACTCGCAGCACTGTGGATGCCAGTGCGGTGTTGAGAGACCCCACGGGTGAGGCCCCCACACGTGGGGAGACGGAGGCACAGCCGTGGCCCTGAGCTGACGGCCGCGTGGTGTCACAGGGGAGATGCAGGGGACGCTGCACCGGGCGCTGCTGGAAGCCTGGCAGGGCGAGCTGAAGCCGGGTGCCGTGCTGCTGCTGCGGCAGGTACGTGAGGCCTCAGCCTGCCCGGCTGTCCCCGCCCCTGCCCTGTCCCTGCCTGGTGCCCTAGCAGGCTGTGCGCGGGCCTGGCTGGGCCAGAGTGGGACGCAGACTGGCCCCGGGGCCCATCCGATGCTGCCCCGTCCTCCTGTGCTGCAGGTTGGTGTCTTCTCCCCATCCCTCCGAAACCACTACCTCAATGTGACGCCCAGCAACCTGGTCCACGTTTACAGCCCAGATTCCGGGGACAGGGACCTGCTCCGGCCTCCGCAGCCCACCCTCGAGGTGAGGGCCAGGGTGCGGGGGTCCGTTGCCCCCTGGAGGCCTAGGGGACAGCCCCTTCCTGTCAGGGGCAGCCTGTGACCTCGGGACAGCGCGGGTAGACCAGAGCCGCCAGACCCCCTTCTCCCTGCCCTCCGCTTGCTGCAGTAAAGGCCTCTACTCCAGCTTCTCTCTTCCTGTCTTTTGGGGGTGCATTTGGTACTGGGGAGTGAACCCCAGGCTTTCACACTGAGCTGCATCCCCAGCCCTTTTTTCTTTTATTTTTTGGGGGGCATGGGGATCGAACTCAGGACCTTGTGCTTTCGAGGCAGGCAGCAGAACCACTGAGCTGAATCTCCAGCCATATTTTCTTTTATTCTGGGATGAGGTCTCGCTAAGTCACCACGACGTCCAGGATGGACTGAAACTCATGGTCCTCCTGCCTCAGCCTCCCACACTGCTGGGATAGAGGCTTGGGCCACCACCCCAGCCCCTGCTCTTCATTTTGTGAGACAGGGTCTCGGCTACCCAGGCTGGCCATAGCTTTGCACTCTTCTGCCTCAGCCTTCTGAGTAGCTGCGGTTACAGGCACACACTACCATGCCCAGCTTTACTTTTACATTCCTAATCATCAAGACTTGGTGAATGCACCCCGCCCTCTCCCATCCCCTGGCCATCAGGCTCAGCAGTCTCGCTGCCTCTTCCTGTCCCCTGTGCAGGCAGGGGCTCCTTTGGGCTCTTAGCAGCTTAGACTTTGGTACTGAGCGGCCTTCTAGCTCATGTGCTGTGTGGTTGCCTCAGAGACAGCCGGAGCCCAGGCTCGGGGAGGGGCCAGCAGGGAGGTCTCTGGCTCTGCCCCGTCCCTCCCCAGGGGCCATGGGACCCGGCCTGGCCACCGCCCAGAGACACGGGCATCAGTAGGTAACCGGGCTCTCTGTCTCCAGGGCCCAGGAAGTTCCTGGGGAAGACGCCAGCCGGATGTGGGTGCACAGCCTGGGCTGGGCCTGAGGACAAGGCAGAGCCCAGGAGCAGGGGTGTCCCCTGAGGAGCAAGCTGTGGACGGTGAGGACCCCGGCTGGGAGGGCCCTGTTCCCCTGGCTGCCCATCCTCTCTTGTGAGTGGTCCACACTGCACAATCTGAATGCTTTTTATTTTCTGCTTCTGGGAGTTGAACCTAGAGCCTCTGCACTGAGCTACATCTCAGGCATTTTTACTTTTTTGTTTTGAGGCAGAGTCTTGCTGAGTCATCCAGGCTGGGCTCAATTTGCAGCCCTTCTGCCTCAGCCTCCTGAGTGCTGGGATGACTGGTTTGTGCCCCATGCAACCTTCCCAGACTGACGCTTCCTTCCTGCCGCTGCTGCCCAACCTGGGGCTCAGCTCCAAGGCGCAGCTGAGACAGTGGTGGACTCGAGGGCTCCCTAACCCGCCCAGGGAGTGGGGCTCTTGGGTGGAGCCTGAGCACACGCACCTTTCAAGAGGGGTCTGGTTTTTTCTTTACACCCCGTTCTCGGGTGGGTGAAGTGGGGCTGTCAGAAGCCCCCTACCACACCCAGGCCGCAGGAATGAGGATCAGTGCTGTTGGAGACTGGGTCTTGCCAGGTGGCCTTGGAGTCAGGGCCACCCTCCCGCCTCAGCCTCCCCACTTCAGTGCTGCTGTTAACAAGAACGGGTTCCCTTTTTTCCACGCCCTACTCACTGGGCCTGGGCTGCCACTGTCCCTATGGCCAACCAGTTCTGAACACTTGTGATGGCTTCCGAGTCTCCCAGGGACACTGCCCACCGCAGCCAGGTGGTGGCTCTGGGTGGAGGACAGAGGGCCCCTTGCACCTGGCGGACGGAGGCGGGGGCAGTCTGGTGTCCTCCTGGGAGCCGAAGCCCTGTGCCGCCCGCCCAGTGCCCAAGTGCTGCCTCTCCGTGTCACAGACGGCCTGGACCGACTCCTCAGCGAGCTCCCAGACAACCTCTTTACTGGCAGTGGCGGCTCGGGCCACCCCGAGGCAGGGCCACCGTGAGCAGCAGCCTGTACCGGCCCCACACTCACCACTCGGCTCCATGCACCAGGGAGGAGGCGGGGCTGAGACGGGCCGGGTGCCCCGTGCCTGCCTGGGCCACTGCCCCAAACCCATCTCGAGGCCCCGATCTGCAGGCCTGACTTCCAGGCACGGGTGTCTCAGGGCTCAGCCAAGCCCACCCCGGCCCCACTGCCTTCTGGCCATGGCTCTCATCCACCTGCTTGGTGCCTGAGAGGTGCTGGGAGCCACAGGGGCCACCCAGGCCAGGCCCTGCCCCACACCCACTCCCCAGAGCCTGAAATAAAGCTTCGGCCGCTGTCTGTGTCGCTTGTTCTGGAGTGCTTGGCAGCAAACGTCCTGTCAGGCGCAGGGCCTGACTCTGCACCAGGTCCCCGCCCCTAGGCCCAAAGAGCCACAGCACACTTGTCACCGGCCGGGGCGCCGAGCTGTGGGCCAAAGGCCCACCCAGGACCCGAGCACTGTGACCTTAACACCCCTGCCCTCTGTGCCTGCTGGAAGGAAGTCTGGCACCTGCTGTCTGCCAGAGCCCCGTGGCGGGAGTGCAGGGCTGGCAGAGCTGGGTAGCTGCTGCCCAGCAGGGATGAGGAGCTCGCGAGGGGTGGAGCACTGGTACCCGGCAGCCCACCTCCGGGGGGCTTGGGACATGCACTGGGAAAGCCATGTTCCGGGGATGGCGTGGCGGGGCGGCTATGCAGGAGGCCACAGTCCTGTCCACAGGGACCGAGAACGCTGGGGCCCCGGTGGGCAGCGGGTGGGGGCTTGGGTCCTGGGGAGTGACAGCCGGAGCTGGGGCGGTGTGGAGGCGCCACTGTGCCCCTCACCCAGCCCCTCCTCCGGGACTGGATGCCCCAGGGCCCCCATCCACACCTGTGCCGCCTTCCTGTGCCCCACGGGGCGGCCTGAGGCCCCCACAAAGTGGCTGCTGTGCCCAGGTCACAGCTCCAGGCTCCCTGCGGGGGGGGGGGGGGGAGGCCGCAGGGCCTGCCCAGGCCACAGCCTGCTGCACTGCTGAGCCGGCACTGGGCCTATTCATAGCTCAGCACCTGCCAGCTCCACCGGGCTCGGTGGGCACAGGAGAGCTCCACCCGGAACCCTTGGGCCATGGCCAGCAAGGGCGACTTCCAGCAGGTGCAGGCGCCGTTCCAGGACCGGGACCCTGCCAACGCCGTCCTGGAGACCATGAGCAGCCAGCTGGCCTGGTTGGCCGAGGGCAGGGGGTACAACCCCGAGGCTGGGCCCTGGCCACTCCCTGGCCCCTCAGAGACAAGGCGAGCAAGCCAGGTGGGCTTCACCCAGGGCCTCCTGCACAGTAGGTGGCTGCTCTCCCATGCTTCTCCATGGACCCAGCCCTTTACTGCATTTCACGCTATCGGGGACGAGCCCACAGCCTCCCACATGCTAGGCAAGCGCCCCAACTCCGAGCCGCGTCCCCAGCCCTGCTTTTATTTTTTATTTTGAGACAAGGTCTCACTAAGTTGCCCGGGCTGGCCTTGAACTTATGCTCCTCCTGCCTCAGCCTCTCAAGTAGCTGGGGTCACTGGCCTGTGTCACTGCCCTAGGACCTCATCGTTCCCCACAATGACAGTCTGCGGATCGAACCTCGGGCCTTTGCACAGCTGTATCCCCAGCCCTTTTTTCCTTTTTATTTTGAGACAGGTATTCACTAAGTTGTTCAGTTGCCCAGACTGGGCTCAAATTTGTGACCCTCCTGTCTCAGTCTCCCAAGGGGCTGGGATCACAGATGCATGCCACCACACCTAAGTTTCATACATGTGTTTGAAACACATTTTATAAATTTTATTTGTAGTTGACAATCATATATACCAAGCTAAATATGTAATAAGTTATTTTCTGACATTTTTTCTGTGTACACGTTTTCTTTTTTGTTGTTTTGTCTTTTGGGGGCGTTTGTTTTGTTTTTTGAAGCAGGGTCTCCCTCTGTAGTTCAGGCTGGGCTGGAACTCACTATGTAGCCCAGGCTGGCCTCGAACTCACAGTGATCCTCCTGGCTCAGCCTCCCAAGTGCTGGGGAGACAGGTGTGCACCACCATGCCCAGCCTGGGCTCCTTTTTAAAAGAATGTTTCTTAAACTATTTTATTTTCATTATCTTTTTCAGTCAGATCTGGGGATGGAGCCCAGGTTTGGGATCGTGTGAGGCACACCAGCCCCCCCCCCCGCCTCTCCCCAGCCCCCCGGTGAGCAGCCCCATGCCCCTGGCAGGGCTCTCAACACGTACCCGGCGGGAGGCCCGGCCCTGGCGCCACGCCTTGGTGGAGTGAGCCGGGGCTGGGGCGTCCGAGTCTGGGAGCTCGGAAGTCGCTGCGGCTCCAGGTCCTGCCTGGCCGAGGCAGTGGGCGGTGCCTCCGAGGGCATCCTGGCCCTGCCCTGCCACGCTCACCATCCCCAGTCCTGAGGAAGTCAAAGCATGCGTGACCTGAGCGGGACACCCTGGCCCGGGAATCCCTGATGCCGAGAAACCCGAGGTCAGCAGGAAGCTCCCGTGTTCCGGAAACAAACCCAAGACCCGAGGCGCAGCTCAGGTCCAGCGCCGGCCGAGGGTCTCCCCTGCTCTGGGCCCTGCACCTCCTCCCACCGCACCCCTGTGCCCCAGCCCTGCTGCATCACCCACCCTGGTTTCCTAACAGGGCTCTTTCCTTCTTTAGTCCTTGTGGCTTTAGAGCAGTTATTACTTTTTCTGTGACACAGGCTGTGTTTGTGACAGACTGACAAACTGCTCTAAAAGATGGCTCCAGCCGGGCCTCGTGGCGCACGCCTGTGATCCCAGCTGTCAGGAGGCTGAGGCGGGAGGATCGCAATGGGTTCCAGGCCAGCCTGTACTACACAGATTCCGTCTCAAGCCAAAACAACAAGAAAAATTTTTCCTGCTTTGGCTCCTGCTTTCTTTTGTTTGTTTGGTACCGGGGATCGAACTCGAGACCTTGCGCTTTTGAGGCAGGTGGCAGAACCACTGAGCTAAATCCGGCCCTGGCTCCTGCTTTCTTCGCCCCAAGCCCGCAAGGCCGTAGATCTGTGTCCTACGCCGCCCGACGCCACACTTCCTTGCCGGTCTCCTTCCGAGCTTGGATTCCGGGTCTCGCTGACCCCACGGACTCAGGGCCAGAGCCAGCCAACTGAGCTAGGAGCCCAGGAAGGAGCCAGCCGCTGGCTCTGCGCAGGCGCGCCAATCGCGAGGCCACACCCCTTCCTGCTCCCCTTCCAGCCCCGCCTCCTACCCCAGAGCGGCCTGAGCCCCGCCCACCACGCGTAGTCCTGCCCGGGGAGGGACGGGATCCCGCCAACAATGACTCCGCCCCCCCATCTGTCCCTTTTAATTGAAGTTTCGCCTTCGTCAGCACACCTTACGTAGCTCTACGTCATCAATTGACGGTACGGAGGCGGGACTTCCTGTCCTTGCTCTAACAGCTTCCGGGAGAAGCCGGAAGAAACCGGGCTCCGGACAGAATCGGGGTTTGCGGGCCCCACCGGAGAGACGAAACCAGGGGCCGCCCTGGGGAAGTCAAAAGACTAACTCTGGCCTTTTCAGGTGAGGACTCCTTCCTCGTCAAGGCACAGCACCGGTCCCAGCGCCTTGCCGTTCCCATGACGCCCCGCGCCGCCGACCCCGCCCCGCCCCGCCCCGCCCCGCCGGGGTGTGCAGGTCCGCACCCGCGCCCACCCTCCCGGCCCGCGGCGCGGGGCAGCGCTCGCAGGGCGGTTAGGATCGCCCTGCCGGCGGAAGGCAGACGGGTCCTGTGCCGGCCCGTGCCCCTGCCGCGACGTCCTCACCCGGCTCGCTCGGGCCTGTCTCCCCCCCGGTTGGTCGCGGTCCGTGACAGCTTCTCCCTTGCGGGCTTAGTCGTGGGAGTGACACAAAAGCTACCGTTTGTTCGCTCAGCGATTGCAATATGCCAGGCTTGCGAGCATTAATTTGCTTCGATGGCTTCGCGTCATCTTCAGAGCAACCTTATGAGGTAGGTACTGTTTTTAACCCCACTGCACTGATGAGGACACCAAGGTTATGAGAACGTTGCCCGAGGTTACATTGCTAGGAAGAGGCAAGACGGGACTAAAATTGGATGTTTTCTGACTCTAGGGCCCGTCTGTTAAGGATATGGAGACTACTCCAATGTTATGTCCATAAATATTCTTTGAGCGACTACTGTGGCGTTTGCTGAGCATTCAAGTGCGAGAAATCCATGTGATCCTTGCCCGGTAGAGGCAGATAGGTGGATGCGCTCAATGACGTCCTGTAGGTGCCGGCGAGCCAGTAGTGTCACGATGGCCACCAGAGGGGTTTGGCCAGGGCCTGGCGGAGGGAGAGAGCAGAGCTGCGTCCTGTCCTGCTGAGAAGCTGGAGAGAGAATGAGCTCGAAGAGAGACCGAGGGGGGCTTGTGGGGCTGTTGAGAAATCACTTCTGTTCGGGGGTGGTTCTGCAGGTGGGAAGCCCAAGGTGGTCAGGAGCATGGCAGTTAGGGTTAGGGTTGCTTCTGGTGTCACCCGCGTGGCTCCCAGGGCTTGCTGAGGAGTTTCAGAGGTGGCAGATGTGTTGCCTGCTGCCCTCCAGTGTGGTCCTCTGGTAATCGGACTTGGCTTGGATGAGGCCGAGTCCCGTGGCTCAAGCCATCAGGGTACGGGTGTGTGCCCCCACTGTCAAGGGTGGCTGACTCTTCCTCCTGGGAAGCCCCAGTCACGCATTCCAGGCTTCTCCATCTCTGAAGCCGGTTCGGAGGTGGCTTGGCAGGTAGGAACCCTGGAGAAATCTGGGGTCAAAGAAGCGGGCATTTTTCCCCTTCAAACAAAAAGGCAGTGAGCAGGAACTGCAGGCGAAGCAGCAGGGCCAGCAGCTTTTGTGAAGCCCTGCTCTCTCAGTGGTCTGCAGTTGGGAGATCTGTCCCCCCAACAGGCCACTGAACCCCATTTTCTCTCAGAGCTGGCTGTTTGAACTTCACCCTGGAAGCTGGTTTCGGGCCCTCCAGCCATGCTGATACTGTCTCCTTTGTTCCTGCAGTGTGGACCCGGGCAGCAGCCAGGCATGGAGCTCTCTGGCGTCAGCCTCATCGAGGGTGTGGATAATGAGGTGACAGTGGTGGCAGGTGTGCTGGTGCTGGTTCTGGCCCTGGTCCTAGCTTGGCTCTCCACATATGTAGCAGACAGCGGTAGCAGTCAGCTCCTGGGAACTATTGTGTCAGCAGGCGACACCTCCGTCCTCCACTTGGGCCATGTGGACCAGTTGATGGCGGGCCCAGGCACCCTAGAGTCCCCTGAGCTACCCCACCCATTGGAGGGCAGTGAAGAGAAGGCTGAAGAGACCTGCACAAGCAGGGGGGATGTGACGAGGGAGCTGGGTGCCGAGGTAGGTGTGGAGCCCAGCCTAGAGCAGCTCCTGGATATCCAGGGCCTGCCCAGGCAGCAGGCGGGTGTGGAGAGAGCTGCTCCGGAAGACCTGCCAGAGTCAGATGGGGGCACTTGCCTGCCCTCTGGTGCCACCCTCATCAACCTGCGGCTCAAACTCCTCAATGACACTGAGGAACTGGCCGTGGCCACGCCGGAGGACACCGTGGGTGCCCTGAAGAGGTGAGTGGAGGCCCCAGGGCTTGGTTCTTTGAGGAGGCTGACGCAGCTATGGGAGGAGAGCGGGTGTCAGATCCTCCCCTGCCCAGGGCAGTGGGAGACTTCTGCGGAAACTCCCGTCAGTCCACCCCCCAACACCCTACTTTTGTGCTTTTTGGTACTGTACTGGGGATTGAACCCAGGACCTTTGCACTGAGCTACATCCCCAGCCCTCTGGGGTTTTTTTGGTACTCGATCAAACTTGGGACCTTGTGCTTTTGAGGCAGGTAGTGGAACCACTGAACTAAATCCCCGGCCCCCCAGCCTTTTTGAGACAGGTTGTTGCAGAGCTCAAACTTGGGACCTTACTGCTTCAGCCTCCCAGAGTGCCTGGATTATAGGCCTGCATCGTGATGGCCTGCTCTCATCCTCTTCCCTCTCTTCCATCCTGCAGCAAATACTTCCCTGGACAAGAGAGCCAGGTGAAACTCATCTACCGAGGCCGCCTGCTACAGGATCCCGAGAGCACATTGCGTTCCCTGAACATCACTGACAACTGTGTGATCCACTGCCACTGCTCACCCCCAGGGGATACTGCCCCAGACTCCTCAGCCCCCCTGGCCCCCTCGGCTGCAGAGTCACCCAGCCTGGGCATCAGTGTGGGCAGCCTTGTGGTGCCCATGTTTGTGGTGCTCTTGGGCGTGGTCTGGTACTTCCGGATCAACTACTGCCAGTTTTTCCCAGCCCCCGCCACAGTCTCCTTGGTGGGCATCACGGTCTTCTTCAGCTTCTTGGTTTTTGGGATGTATGGGCGATAGGACCTGGAGAGACACACAGGGCATGGGCACCCTGCACTGCTGCTTCCCTTTCCAGGCCACTGCTGGGTCAGGCCTGGAGGGTGGTAGCCAGGTTGTGGTGATGGCCAGGCCAGGGCCAGCTGGTGGGCGTTGGGCTGCCTGCCAGGCTAGGCACAATCATCCCCATGTTGGTGCAACTCAGGTAGAAAGCCAGGTGTCACCTGGCATCCCTTTCAGGCTCAGAGCTGTGCCTGGCTCGTGGAAGCTTGGGCTCTCACTCCTCTCCATGTCCGGGCCTGGCACTGCTGCAGAGGCCTTTGGTGGTAGTGCCGAGCCTGGCATGGCACTGGCAGGGTGAGTTTGTCCCTGCCTCCCCCAGCACTGAGCCACCCCTGCCCTTATGGGAATGGGGGACCTCCCTTCTCAGCACTTTGCTGGCCTTTCTTATTAGTCTTTTATGGGGCTCAGGTGGGAAGGCACCAGGCTACAGTGCTGCACCCCTAGGCCCAGGGCTGCAAGTGGAGCACTGGCTGTCAGCCGGCCCCTGCTGTTGGGCCCTGAGGGGTCATCAGGCCCAGGCCTGGCAGCAGGGTAAAGGCTTGGGTGTCTGTGACTGAATAAAGTTGCATTTTGTGGCCAAGGTGCCTCCTGTGACATTCAGAATGTGGCTCTCCCCTGCCCCAGCACTGTGGCAATGAGGGCAGGGAGGCCAGGCTACCAATGGGAGATGCAGTTTATTTACACCAGCAGCCAGGGCAGAGGGTACACAGCGGTTACAAAGTTAGCTACCTGTACAGGATGGATTATATGCAAAAATAAAAATCTCAAGACCACAGGACAGCGTAAGCCCCCCCCCTCCCCCAATGACCCCAGCATGCGGTGATGCCAGGCGGGTGGCCCTGGGCATGCGGAGGAGGGAGCGGTGCATGGAAGGGAAGCCACCGGCCGTGGGATTAGTACAGACCCCTCTCAGACACAGGGCAGCAGCACTGGCCAGGACCCAGCCTGCCCTTGGGAGGAGGGGGCTCTGCGCTGGGACAGGGGTCTGCTGCCTCCTCACCCAGCCAGGAAGGGTGCAGAACCAGCTGGCCGGGACCCGGGGAAGCGCGTGTACAGACCCTTCCCAGACTGCGTCCTGCTCCCTCCTCACCCACAGGGAGGCCAGGCCATGGGGGGGGGGGGAGTTCCCAGCTTTGTGCCCCTGGCCTCCAGCCCACTCCTGACCGGGTGGCCCCTAGAGGGAGGCGGCTGCGAGGGCCGAGAAGAGAGGCGCCCAGGTCCCAGGATTTATTCTACCTCCTGCCAAAACCGTTTTGACTTTTTAAAAAATAATGACAGTGCTTGGGTTAAAAACCAGTTTGTAACCAGGCATCAGCCACAATCAGAAGCACCCCAGGGGGAAACTGGGGCTCCAGACGGGGTCCCACAGCCCTGCCCAGTTGTTCCCACGACCCTCTAGGGTCCCTAACCCAAGTCAGTCCGAGCAGGCCTGGGGACCAGCCACTCCATCGTGGGACACACCCAGCGCATACCAGGGGACGGGACAGGGCAGCTCCGGCCCAGATGGGCACCTGTCCTGGCGCACGGTGCCCGTGAGGAGCTGTACATCTCTCTGGATGTAGAGCAGGCCGGTGGGCACACTGGCATGACATCCCATGGAGTGACACCACCCTTCCCTCCATCGGCCCGGGGCGCAGAGCCACCCCACTCCCATCCACTCCTAGCACGGGGAGAGGCACAAGGTAAGGATTTTCCTCGAAGCCCCAAACCACAAGTACAGAATAAATAACTTAAAAGCGGCGCAGGAGGGGACAGGGCAGCTTGGAGGCTGGGACAGAGCAGGACGAGTGGTCCAGGGGAAGGTGGCAAGCAGCAGCTTGGGGCTGAGCTGCCCCAGGGCAGGGGCAGGGTGGGCACAGGGGACATGGGGCCACCCCAGGAGGGCGAGGCTGCGCCCTTCCCGGGGCAGGGAATGAGGTAAGAAAACATTTCAAATAAAGCAGCACCGGTCCCTCACCGCGGCCCCTCCTCACCGCCGCAGGGTCGGGTCTGGAGGGAGGGCAGGGTCCGGGTGACAGCCCACCCCTCCCCGCCCTCCCCTTTCCGCTCCTTGAAGCTTCGAGGCTGCGGCCCTCTCCTGGCACCCGACGACAAGGGACAGCTGCGGCTGCCCAGGAACCCTCGGGAATGGAGGGGCTGCCGTGGGGCAGGGAGGCAGTGCAGTTCTGGGCACCACCCGGCATCCGGCCACTGGTGCCCACCAGACGGGCAGCGCGGCTCTGTGCCCGGCCCGCCTTGGCCAGCCCAGACCCCTTCACATTGCCTTGGGCCTCCGAGGGGTGAGGTCCAGTTCCTGGGGCGGGGCAGGCAGCTCGGGGCAGTGGCCAGGCCAGGCCCCGGCCCGGCCGGACATCCAGTAACTCACAGAATAAATAGGAAAACCGCCTCCCACCAAACTGTGTCCAAGGCGATCGTGTCCAGGTCTGAGGCCTGCACGCCGAGGCTGGCTCCACTGCAGAGGACCCCGGCGGCCCCAGGGGCACGCACGCGGACCCTCCACCTGCCTGGTCCCCCGTGCTCGCCGAGCCTGGACCCCAGCAGCGTCCGTGTGCCAGGCAGTGCCGCCGGCGAGGGTCAGAGGCTCTGCTCAGCCAAAGGCCATCCCTGTGCCTGCCATCAGTTGATGTCATCGTAGATGCTGGGCGTAGGGGGTGCCGGGGGCTTTGGCTTCTTCTTCTTGCTGGAGCCCAGGGCGGACGTGGCCCCCACCAGGCTCAGGTGCGACTTCTTCTTCTTGGTTTTCCGGGACTCGGAGCTGTTGGTGCCTGTGGAGGGGACAGGTGAGCGGCCGGGTTGGGTGGAGGGGCACCCGCGCCTCCCGCAGGACCCGGGGCTGCCAAGTACCTAGGCCCCAGCCCTGGTTTTCACTGGTCTTGGAGGAGCCCGAGTCTGAGGGCGAGAGGTCGGAGGAGCCATCCCACTGCAGACGGCTGAGGAGCGCCTGGCTGTCGGCCATGTCGAAGCCACCGTCGTCCAGCGCGCTGTCCACCTCTGGGAGGACACTGCGGAGGGAGGGCCAGCTGGGGCTCGAGCGCAGCCACTGCCACCCTCCCGCACGCCAGCCCCCAGCGGTCACTCACGCCGAGGGCCCGAGAAAGTAAATCCGCACAGTACGCCTCTGCTCGTCTGTGTGCTGGGGACAGCGCAGGGACCTGGCGGCGACAGCAGGGTCAGCCCTGAGCAGGCCCTCGGTGAGGCCCAGGGGCCCAGCGGCGTGGAGGCAGGGCCAGGGTGCCCCAACCCGCACCGAGGCGAGGCCCAGGGCCGCGCTCACCTTGTGCACATCTTCTTGGTGTGTTCCGAAATCACCCCACATTGCTGCGGAGAGACAGAGGCTGAGGTGGCTGCCGGGGACCTGGCCCCGTAGCCGAGGCTCCCCGCACTGCAGAACAAGGCCCCGGCGCAACGGGCAGGCGGGCGAGCACCACTGCCGAGTGGCCCACTCCCGCCGGGCTCCTCACCGTGGTGAGCAGGCTCCGAAGCTCCTCGGGCCCCAGCGTCTCGTAGCTGATCCCCGTTGAGTGGCTGTACTGTGGGAATCAGGTACAGGTTAGGGGTGGGGCAAACACCCTTGTCACCACCTGAGTCCTCATCCCACCTGCACGCAGGCAGGGGGACCTGACCCCAGCCACCCCATGGGGACAAGGGCCACAGGGACAGCCCCTGCTCACCTTAAAAGGATCCGAATTGCTAAGTTCCCCTGAAGAAGAAAAAAGAAGGGGAAGGGTGTTTGATGCAGAGGTACAGACAGAGAACCCTGAAAATAACCAGAGAGGAAGTGGGGGTGACAGAAGGCTCACAGGCCCGCCTCCACACCGCCCTGCCCACCACTCCCAGCAAGTCCCGGCGACACAGCGGCATCATCCGTTGCTCCAACGCTACTCACCATTTTTGTGTTTTAAAGACTTGGATCTTCGAGGGGAATTGGGGTTCTGGAATGGGAGATACCATAGCTTTGGGGAAAGGGGAATGATAAGGGAGAGCCGAGAACCCAGGGAAGGAAAAACATTTGACAAAGAAACACCCTCAAACTGCTACTCCTCCCAGTAAGCCCTGTGCCCACCTGGCGCCCAGGACCTCTGAAGCCCCTGGCCCAGCAGACACCCTCACGCCAGCGACCTCAGACTTGAGTCAAGACCCCGAGGAGGACCCTGCCCCAAAAAGGTATCTGTCCTTTGCCTACACTTCCCCATGTGAGCCCTGCTCTCACCTTGTCTGATTTCCTCTTCTTGGCTGTGGGGGACACAAGAATGAAGAGCAGTTACGCTTTCTTTTCTGACTTTTTTTGTAGTACTAGAGTGAATCCAGGACTTTGACACACTAGGCAGGCGCTCTACCTCTGAGCTACTCTCCAGCCCAAGGCAGGGCCACTTGAAGCCCCCAACCTAAGAGGATCTGAAGAAAAGGCAAAACTATCCACTCTCCATGTCATTCGTGACAATTTTCTTTGCAGTACTAGGATTTGAACTCAGGGCCTTCACACTGACCTACATCACCAGCCCTAAGTCAGGGTCTCGGGCCGGGGATTTAGCTCAGTGGTTCCGGGGCCTGCCTCACAAGCGCTAGGTCCCAAGTTCAATCCCCGGCACACAAAAAAAAGAACACCTAAGTTCCCCAGACTGGGCTCAAACTTGGGATCCTTCTGCCTCTGCCTCCCAGGGTGCCGGGACTCCAGCCGTGTACCATCACACCTGACTCCTCTACCTCATGCCAGTGTACCCCAAAGTTCCCCAGTCCCCCAAACACCTTTCTTCTCCGAGCCGTAAGACCAGTCATTGTCATTGATGTCATCGTTGTCCTCCTGGTCGCTCTCTGACTTGTTCATGTTGTTGCTGTTGGCGATCCTGCCAGGGGAGGGCAGAGGACATGGCGTCAGGCTGGCCCAGTGTCCACAGCTGCCTTTAGAGCTCCGGGGGGAGGACGTCCAGGGCTGCGCATGACCCACGCTCTGTGCCCCACAAACGCCCCAGGTGCAGGCTAGCAGGCCCTCACCGGCGGTTGGCAATGCGGCTGCTGTTGCGCCCCATGCCCAGGCACTTCTCCAGGTGCGGAGCAAAGCGAGACGCGGCGATGCTGCGGCTGCAGTTTGGGCAGACACACTCCTTGCTCTTCCACTGGTTGAAAACCTGCCCAAAGATGTCCAGCCCCGGCTGGTCCACGATCTCTGGGGGCAGGAGAGGTGACGGTCAGTGCGGGGCCACCCCGCACAGCCCCGCCGCAGCTGGGGCGCTCCCCGCAGGAGCTCACCGAAATCCTTCATGCTGTCTGGGTCCGTGTCGTCTAGGAAGAAGTAGCCACACTTGACGGCCCGGTGCACCTCAAAGCAGAACCCCAGGCACGAATCCTCGACCAGGTCTGCGTATATCTCCTGAGCGATGGCCTGGGCCGGGGAGAGGCCCGTCACCACGGCTGCCCCCACCTGGTGGCGACTCAGCGGCCGGCTCCGGGGTGCCCCTTCCTGATCACGGGTGGCGGCTGTCATGCAGACACCAGCAGAGAGAGCTGGAGGTGCACGTGGGGCCCTCACCTCTAGTTTGCTGTTATCCAGGCCAGACAAAGACATTTCCTCCATTTTCATTTGTAAACTCTTGTGGAGACGGCGCTCTGACTGCTCATAGCACAGCGGGCGACTCGGCTGCAGGGAGGGGGTGCTCGCGTGAGGCTGAGGCAGCGCAGCGCCTGCCACCTCCACTCCCCGCCCGCTCGGCCCTGCCAGGCCCGGGCGCTCCAGCCTGCACAGTGCTCGGCTGAAACTCAGGGCCGGCCTTATCCTTGCCCGACCGAATCCGACTCCACAGCCTACCCGGGTCTGGGTCCCCAAACTCCAAGCCCTCTCGATACCCATGGTGCAATGCAGCAAGGGAGAAGGAACTCGGCCTCGGAGCAAACCCACAGGGTGTGGCAGCGCCGCACAGGCTCCGAGGGCAGCCCCTGCCCTGAGGCTCCGCCAGGCACCTCTGCCGGCATTCGGGTGACCGCCTGGTGGATGCTATCAGAGACGGGGACGACCCGAGAACCCGCTACCCTCACCACACGGCCCCGGAAACGCGCCGGCCTCTCCACGCGCAGAGCCGAGTGAGGCGCACGGGGCTCAAACCGCGGGGGTGCGCGGGAGCGCACGGGAGTAGGGGACCCTGCCTACCTGCGACCGCCGGGACAGCCCCTCCCGCCCCGAGGCCCGGCCCGGAAGTCCGTCGGAGCGCCCCGAAGTGCGGGCGCCCCCGCCCGAGACTGAGGCCCAGGGTTCCCCGAGCGGCGGGCCCAGCCGGGGCGCGGGGCAGGGTCGGGGTGGCCGCCGAATCGCCCGGACGGGGAGCCCCGGGCCGGGGC